ACAGTCGGGTACCTGCGGAGGCAGGAGATATCGCGAAAACAGCCATTATTACTCCTTTTGGCCTGTTTGAACTCCTTTCTATGCCATTTGGTCTTCGGAATGCAGCACGAACATCCCAACGCTTTATGGATGATACCTTTTGTGGTTTAGAATTTTGTCCATGTCTACGTCGATGACTGTCTTGGTGCAAGTCCAGATAAGGAAACTCAACTTGAACATTTGGACCTCATATTCAACAGACTGGAAAACATGGCATCACAGTCAACGTGCAGAAGTGTGAAACAAGAGTTGAATCACTCAGATGCTTTGGGTATGCTACTGAATGCAAAGGTATATGTCCACTGACAGATAAAGTGGTGGCCATTATGAACTATCCGGGGCTGACCACTGTGGAGCAGCTCCACTCTTTTAGTGGCCTGGTTAGTTATTACAGAAAGTTTACTCCCAGCTGTGTCTCGGTTATGCCACAGTTGCCACGTAGTTCGCAACCGTGGACGACGTGGATAGGCTTGCTCTCCCCAAAGTCAAGGAAGCCATTTCGAGTGCAGCCGTTTTTATGCATCATGACCCCGAAGCTACCTTGAGTACTGCCGTTCGTGCATCCGACTCTACGGTTGCAGCAGTTTCGCATCAGTTGACTGACAGCCAGTGGCAACCCTAGGCTTTTTTCTCGAGGCGACTGCGGGGGGAAAGAAGAAACAGTACATTTTGCGGGGAACTCCTGACTATGTATTGCTCTGTACACCATTTTCGACATTCCGTTAAAAGTTGTGACTTTTCATTTTCATAGACCACGAACCATCAACTTTCATGGCTCAGCATCTGCTAAGTACTCCCCTGGTGAGTCGCGACAACTGGATCGTGTTTCCCAGTTCACATCAGGTATTTGCTAGATGCCTGGAGCAAATAACTTCGTAGCCGACGCACTATCTCGAATAGCTTCGATAAACTGTGTTGAAAGTGACGATCTCGTCGAACTAGCTTGGTGTCAAGAAGAAGGCCTTGGGCTACACCATTTTTTGTCGTCCGCAACTCTCAGGCTGCAGCTTTATGCAGTAGGATCAGGCAAGGATACAATTTTATGCTATGTCTGTGCTAGTCAACCACACCTAATGGTTTCGAAGAGGTGCCGACGCAACGTCTTCAATATATTGTACAAACTGTCCCATCCAGGTTTACGAGCCGCAGTCAGGCTTTAATCGCACTTTTAGGTTGCACTCGGCTCCGGACGACAGCCCACAACCCACAAGCAAATGGCAAGGTAGGACGTTTCCACTGACGGCCGAAAAGGAAACCTTCAGCTGCAAACATGCCTCAATGGACCTAGGCCTTACCCCTAGTCCTCCTGGGCATTCGTGATGCGTTGAAAGCTGATGCTGGATGCATCCCTGGAGAACTCATCTACGGGACCTATTCTTCGCCTACCGGGAGACTTTGTTTCCCCTTAAACTTTCAGACATGTTCTTGACAAAACATCTTACGTGACTAGGTCTACAAACGCAGTGCGTTCAGTTAGGCAAACTCCTGTTAGACCTCAAGCAACAGCGGATTTCTTCGTTCACCCCGTTTTACAAAAGACATCGCATGTTCTCTCTCCAAGATGTCGGTTGCCGACCACTTGAACCACCTTACGATGTTCCACTCAAAGTGATCAAGCTGCACAAGAAATTCCATATAGTCACGCGGAACGGATGTGAAGACACTGCTAGTGTCGACCCTTCGAAACTAGCCTATCTCGAAGGCAACCCAGTCACAAGTGACGTTTCAGCCGACCGGTGGTTAGCCTAATTATCGAAATTCTTGACGATGTGTCGGGTAGCAAGCAGACACAACAACCGCCAGCACAACGAAGAACACGACCGGGTAAAACCGTCAGCCTCCCGGAGTATCTAAGGGCATGTTAAACTAAGTAGTATGATTTAAAATATGCCAACCACTTTGAAGTCCAATGTTTTCGGGCGCCATCTTTTGTATTTTGCTAGGAATGCGAAAATTCTCCTGAATTTTGCTTTTTGTGGCAATTTTTACCACCGCGTAATCATACTTTTCAAGGAAGGAAATGGAAACAGGCATAAAATCTATTTTCGATATACTTACGCGTAGAAGTTTTCCATTTTTCCGAGACGTTTTCGTGATATTTGAGACTTTTGTCTCAATTCCGGCGTGAGGGGCACTGAACTAAACGTCAAAGGACACGGGATCGCGATCGACGCACAACTCGATTCTCTGTATCTTATTTTCCATTCGCCACGACACCACAGAATAAGGTTAGACAACCGCAGGCCACTTCTTGCAGTGATCCCATCGGAGGAGTTTTACTGGTGGAGAAAGCACTGGGCTTTTGCTTCTTTCTGGTAGTGTCTTACAGCCCTCCAGAGGGGGGGCCTATGGCGTCACATACTTCTACAGAATCAATAGCCTAGAGTTCGATAAGATTCAACGTTGATGATGACCTTTATAGTTTAACTGGGCTCGCCAAGCTGAAGGCACCAGGTCAAGCAACCAAGCCATTTGACACTCTGTCGTGCCACGTTTCACTGCTCGTAATCGACCCTCCAGCCAGTTAGACGCATCAGTATCTCGGTACGGCCACGCGAGTACACCATTCCATCCCGCTAGGCCATTATTTTCTTTGTTCGCGTATTCTTCAGCACATGACAGGCGCGAATGATTGGCGATTGGCCTCTGCGTCTATCGAGTTCGCACCAGGACAATTACTAAGGCCCGTAACCAGACAAGTCACCTGACTATGGGTTAAAATCTTGCCCATGACAGGGTGCTGATTATGGGGCTGTTGAAACAGTACTGGTTTTGCATGGATCATCAGCAGTCTTCCTATGCGGTATTCTGCTGATCACTTTGACATATGCGAAACTTGTGGTTTTCAGAGCTTGCAGAAGGTCTTTAGGACATGTAACTACTCATCATGTGCACAAAGTTTCACAATAACTTGCGCCTAACTGTTTCTTGTAACTGGTAGTTTTTTGATGCTACCCACTCGATCACAAACCATTCAAAGAGGGTATTTTGTACTCAGGATTAGGATGATAACTGTCTGACGTAATTCAGGCTTTATGTTTGTTTTGGGATGCTTTAGCTACAGGTTAGGGGACATCATCAGTAATTAGTGAATGGGGTAGGTAAACGTTTATGAAGTCATCTACCCTGATGAAGAAATGTTCGAGGCCAAACCAAAAAGCTTGAAGTGAACCAAACAAATATCACAGATCTCTTGGCCAGTCTAACAATGCCGGATAATATATCAAGTTGGAGTAATTTATCCCCATACCGTCAACGACTTCCGACGAGAAGAGCCTCGGAGATTTCTGTCCCTAACCTATCGTAACGTCCTCGGTGCTCAGATTTAACTACCAACACTTACTGGTTTAGCGTCAGCCTTTCTTCGATAAGACGCCATCATAGTTATTGGCATAGGTGAGCGAAAGAATTCCTTACCTCTATGAGATCTGGTGGACATGTAATTTATATATAAGCTTGTTCATACCTGTAAAAGTGGTGTGTGCCTGTATATTCAGGAATAAATATTATTATTATTATTATTATTATTGTGATTACCATCGTAGCTTAGAGTGGTGAGGTTGAAGCTTAGCAGAATTCCATCTCGCTGTCTCTTTTTTAACTGAAGAAATATGAGGGCTTGAAAGTTTAACTAGGCTTGAAACATGACTCTCCGATGATTCTTGATTTTCTGACGCTGCAATGGTATTTCGCAGAGTAAACGATTTGAAGAGGTTGACAGATGACCAGTCTATTCGGCTAATGCATGTCTATGGCTCAGGAATTAGATGCAGATGTCGGCATGCTCTATCATTATTTATCATCCTTCATCTGGGAATCCGCTATGGGGGATGCTTTACGTATTAATTTTCATAGCCTCATGGAGTCGCAACCAGTGTCTACGGGCAGCGCTAGCCTGGCTAGTTAAACCTGCTATGCTACCAGGCCTTTATCTATGCAGTTCTTGGGAAAGATCAATACGATATGAGAAAGGGATGTAAATCACGGTTAAAACATACATTTGCTCACCTATTGATAAAATCGATTCGTTTCTTGACCGTTTTATCATCTCTGACAAACTATTTACCATCTGACAGATATTTTGCGGTTAATTATTAAAGATGACACCAAATGATAGCTTACTTGATTTACGGAAATGATATAAATCCATTTCTGGCGCTACCAGTCCTGTCTTCCTATGTCAACTCAGTGGGTTAGTGTTGTACTTGTAATTGAAGTTTTCATAAGCGCTCACCTCTCAAGTATTACACTGTGCTTGCTAAACCACCCTGTTGGCACGCTTTCCAAGTGTTGAATATTCTGCATGGCATTGGAAAACTGCAGCTTTCTTTATGGCAAGTCAACGGAGTTTATCCAATCGCTTACTTGGTCGTCGTCAAGTTATTTGGTTAGCTTACCCCAAGACTTCACAAAATTGTACAGCCTCTTAGAGCGTGATAATAGCCCATTGAGAACATAAGTTTTATGGACTCAAATTAAGCTGAAGTCAGTTACTGGAAGCTGCAGATGCAGCTTAACAAGTATTTCTACCATAAAAATAAGCATTATGCCATGGGAACTCAACACAATTGGTCGCTGACTTTAGCCGTTGATCCATGTGTCTTTACTGTACATAAACGTACTTCAAGAGTGTGATGATTCTTTTGAACTTACTCTTTTCTCATTTCCTCTTTCACGTTTTCACCGGAAATCTTTTCACTCCTAGTATCAACCTCTTACAACCCATTGAAACAAGGGTCTGGTAACATGGTATTTGGGAAACTCACCTGCACCGAAGTCCTTAGACAAATCATGCAGCCACTACAAACCTAATCAATATCCAGCCAGATCTAAAGTAGGAGAGTAGGCAAACCTACTGCATCGGAATCCACCTAAAGACTGAGGTCCGTTTCGCAAGACCTAGAAGCGAGCGCGAAGACACCAGCCGATTTACAGAAGCTCGTAAAAAGATATTGGATGTTGGACATGTTTCGATATCTGTGGGCGGGTTATATTAGTGACCTAAGTATTCGATAAATTCAAAATCTTTTAGGTTTTGTAAATAAATATATTGGCCATCGAAGTTACCTACGACTATGAGTAATTTCGCCTCATTCACTTTTTCGTGCGTTCTTAAAAGTTGGAGGATCCCTGGACGTGTATCTCTAAGTAGGCTTACGCTACTAAATCGTATGAATAGTTGTTGCTCGTTATGGAAACCGATCGTGGAAACCAGATGATGCTGTTTCGCTTACATTTCCTCCAAGGACTGATGTTTTTAGAGAATCTGGCGTCTCAGGGTGTCTGGAAGTAGTAGAGTGTCGCAGAAGCAGTGAGTATTGTCTGTTAATTTATTCATATTGTATTAACCTAGTCATTATGTTCATTGGGTTAAAGAAGTCAATGTTGAGTCGCTCAATGTAGAAAATGTTCGACCAAATGTAGGTACTGAAGCGGGGTGTCGCCACATTTTCCCTAGCTATACGACCCTTTGCGTAACGAAGTGGACACTACTTCTGACCCAACGTTTCCTATTCTCGTCCTTCACTTCCGCTTAAAGTTGTATGTTTTCATTATGCTCATAGAATTCTAACAGGAGGCTAGAATTTTGACCTCTTGGCCCTTGAAATTTTGGTCTGAAGTAGTAGGAATGTGACGCATATTTACTGATATGCTGTACTAATTTAGTGCGAACCCATCCAATTTTCGAGAGTGCAGTTATTTCAGACAGGGAAAATATTTACTTAAGCAAGTTCAAGAATGGTTAATCAGTCCATTTGTTAACCGATCAGTGTTGGGAGTCAACACAGCTGTCCTGCATTATTTCCTGCTTCTCTTCGGAAGCTTATAGAAAGGGTAATAAGTTGAATGATAAGGTTGGGTCATATAATATTTTTCTTTGCGTTCTCCCACCATAATGGTCACGCAGATTATAAAAACAATGTTTACACTTTTCTTGGCAAGACTCCTGGGATCCCATTTTGCGAAAATTCCTCAACGCTGATGCAGAGAAAATAAAAATTCAATTGTTGTACCTTTCGTTAAGTATTGCTCGAATGGGTATTGCAGTATTCGCTTCTGCCTGGTTTTATTACCCACAATAATAAGTTTGCAAATAGCAACAAAAGAAAAGAAATGAGTAACATCCCTGAACTTACGTAATCTTCCCTGTATTCGTTGTTTGACGTTTTCAGTTCCATATGGCTGAATTCCTATGAGATTACTGGTAAATCCAGTTTGCTTTTACTCTTTAAACTTCTAGTGTTTCCTGAGGACCTTTCGACACTCATTTCGTTCGTAAGCTATTCAGCAGCGAAATGTCAAGTTCTTTTAACATGCCTAAGCATGCTGATAAAGTTTCGAAATGCGATGCATAATCAAGATTTCTCTCCTATTTTCCTTTGTCAGTGAGGCAGACATCAGCGCCGTCAAGACTTGCTCTGAATGGTAATGTGTAGTTACACAGTTTTCGTTGATGTTTGCGGCTCTCTTGCTTTCTGCTGTGCACTGGACTGGCAAGCTAAATAATACATGCATAAAATAAAACCTCAGCTTACATCTCTGGTGTATTGCTCATAATGTTGAATGACTACCTGTTAAATAATAATGCTACTGGTTTATTGATTTTACGCTGAGAATTCCAAAGTGTACCACAAATTGTTTGGAATAAGGTAAATTATTATTATTATTATTATTAGGGTGGACTAAGCTGTGTAGATTTTTTTATCCGGTTGTGAGAACTCAGTCAACTTTCAGTCAAAGGTGATGCATATCCATCTGCAACGAATTTCTTGTTACATTCATTGTTATAAATAAATCACGAGAATGATGAATTAGTTCAGTAAACTTTTTTCTGGTTGCTTTCGGCGTAGCCATCGTACTGACAGATGAAAAGGATTTCGCTGAGTTAGTTAATTTTACTGCTTTCCAGCATAAGTGCACTGCATCTTTGGTATTTTCATAAGTATCTGACATTGATTAGTAATATTATCAGAACACAAACATGGTACAACAAGGACACGAAGAAATGCACCACACAAAATAATATGACATTATGATGACATTAAGCGAAGGGAAGTGGATAGAAATAAAACACTATGAACAGAATGATTAAAAGGGCAGTCCAGTAAGGTACATTCGAAACGAAACATCCACTGCTTTTCAGCAACAAAAGATAGAAAAAAGCTACAGCATTACCACCACTGGTTTCTCTTCTGAGCCGTATCTGAAGCCACTGAATTGTGCGATCTCTCCGACCCCACCCGGGGAGTCGTAATGTACCAACGTGTTAACCCGATACAACTATCCTTCATCTCACGGCGACCTCGTCTTACACTGGCCAACCCTCCGCTTCTTCCATCCAGTTCCAGGGTTAACAAACAATGAACGGCGTGGAAACCGTTGGGACGACATGTGTAACACATGTCTAAGTCACCGAAGTAGGTGTTTCCAGATGACCACTTATTGAATGATGATCTCCATCATGCCCAAACACACGCTGTCGTACCTCAGGGTTACTTACAAGGTGCTGGCACCTAATACGAGCAATCTTACGGAGATAACGTTGATCGAACACATAAAGTCAAGATTGGTCACGCCTGATATTCTCTACAATACAGCTATCTATAGGGCAAGAGCCATGGGACCAAAGCAATTTAAATAGGTCTTGTTCACATATTAATCTAAAATTAATCATCAGACATTTGGCAGGTTTGAATGTGAGCCCTTTTAAGTAAGGCCAGTGACCAATTTCGGTTAAGAAGTTATTAAACTCAGAACAATCTGAAGAAGGGGAAGTTGGATTAGGATGGAAAAGGGTTCAGGGTGACCAGACCAAGACCTGGCACCAGTCAATGAAGCCCTTGGCTATTGACTTGAGCCGTGTGGGATGTAGACTGCCTGGTTGGGGTCTCCGAAACGAAAGGAATTAGTGGTTGAGGACACTTGGTGACATGGCTGAAAATCACTGATAGTGGCGCAGATGTATTCACTCCTTGACGTCCTCTAAAGCTTGAATATTCACACTAACCTTTATTTGTTCTCTTACACCACTTTATGTACTTTGATATCGCTCCTTTTCTATCCGACTGTTTATATGTTGTTTTAAAGTGTGGCAACTTGAGCCGATGCACTTGTGTGCGAGGTTATACGTTGATTTTGTCAGTCAGTCAATCAATCTGAAGAGATGGCATGGATACTGTTAGGTCGTCTGCGTACTTAACAAAGTTAACTTTACTTGAAGTTGGTAAGTCATGCTAAAAGAAAGGCAAAAGAAAGGGGTAAAGAACAGCACTTTGAGGCACACTGACTTCACTAAGTAGCTAAGTAGAGCACTCCCCTCTGTATTGAGTGTACTGTCCTCTCTCAAAAAAACAAGAATCAAGCCGGTTTGGAATCCGAAACTGGCAAGCTTGTTCAATAAAAGTGGTCTAGGGACAGAATCAGATGTAGAACTATAATTCAGGAAGACAGATGTAACATACTTAGCATTTTGTACAGAATGGCAATGATATTATCATGAAAAACAACTGTACCATCTAAAGTGGGTTTGGATCTCTGAAAGCCTCCAAAGAAGGCTCAAACACAGGAAGCAATAGCTTTTCTATTGTTTTTAGGAATGGTGAAGTTATTGCGATTGGTCGGAACTTCACTTTTGTTCTAAAAGATATGGACTTAGGTATCAGGGCTATTTTCATTCCCTTCCAGTCGGTTGGTACGTCGTTTCTGGCGAATAACTCATGAAAATTGTTAGATGACAGAAAGTATCAGCAAATTTGTTAAATAGAATACCTGGCATGCTATCTGGTCCGAGGCTTTGGGGAAGGTTTTATTGATTTTAGCCATTTGAATAATTTAGGCAATATGCCAAAAATGTTCCGTTCAGTCATACAGGTGCATTTGACGTCTATGTCCTCTATTGATGTTAAATGGTTATTACCTTACATAGGTGAATCCTCGAAGATACCAGCTGTTGATAATTCAAAGGAATGATGCACTTTCATACCTTTAAGTTCTTGAAGTTGGAATTTTTTGAAGTTTAGTTATGGTTTTGAAAAAACCCCTAAAACACGAGATGGGTTTTACACGTGGAGGGAGTATTAAACAGATTCAGTAGCGTGTCAGCTAACATACTGTGAACTCAAGCTACATTATTTCACTATTCTATGTGGAGCTGTAGCTCGTTGGTCTAGGTACTCGATTTTCAACCGATGGGTCACAGGTCCGAGTCTCGCTCCATATATCAAGGTCTAGGCAGCCAGGTAGTATCTTTAACTCCCACGCAATAGGTATGAACCACTGCCTACTGCACAGATGTACATATGGTTGCTGAGTGCATTTTGATTCGACACACACTGAAAGTAATCAGCTGGAGGAAGACTTCCAACTTCGTTAACGTCATTATTTACTTAAAACACTCAGTCTATTGGATAGTCGTCGTTACTGTTGTTTACAAAGCACTATGGTCTAAATCAATCTGATGGTCTACTCCGCCTTAATTTAGTCAAGATTATAGTGTAGTTTTCTTAACCATCCATCAGTTTTTAGAACATAGGCATGTTTACCGTTGCTCAATATCGGTCGTACTTCTTGACATAAAGTCATCATTTGCCGCCATCAATCAACGGGTCTTTTAAGAATGTCCATCACTATAAGTTCTGCCTGGCAAGTTTATAATCGTACCTAAAGCTTTCTACGCGAATGCTAGTAATCGCATTACAACCTGCAGTGAGCTATCAGGTGAGTTATCCAGGTCGACTGGTGTTTATCAAAAGATATCCAATTTTTTCATTTGTATTAAATTTTATCACAGACGTAATTGTAGAGGTCCGTCTATCCTTATCTGACGTAGCAGTCGACCTAGAGTACGTAGATGACAACTAGTGAGTCACGGTTTCGGACCCAGATTAACTTACCAAGTTTTAGGCAGCCAACTGGTACCATTACCCCTCACACGATAGATGTGGTTAGTTACTTACTGCACGAGTGTGCGCTTGGTTTCTGGGTGCATTTCAATTTCGATTCATGCAGACCACATAGTCCTGTTATGTGAAGACACTGTAAAGATGCCGAGTCCGCGGGACGCCTTGAGTGACAAGTTGTATGTCCTGTTGTATGATGAAAAAGTGGACATGAAGAGGCTCCAGGAATGTGACCTTTGTAACATTGGTAATACTTAGTAGAGCCACCAAGCCAGTGATACAGACGTCAAGCGTAGTCTTAAGCAAAAGAGGTAGGTCAGCTAATGAGGTTGTAAACATTCACTGGCTCTAGTTACTGCGATTTGTGTTACATTTGCATGATCACCACCTATCTCGACATGCGATGTTAGCTCAAGTAGGGCCAATTTGGGAAAAGGTTAAGATTTGCCAGACCAAAATCTGGTATTTTTTCATGAAGTCTCCGACCGTTGGTCTGAGCAATACAGGGGGGGGGGGCAGGCTCCTAAATTTAGATCTGTGCGACAACCGAAACCTATGATTGGAGACCGACTGACGGTTAGAGTTTCAAGGTGATATCACTCAGAGTTTATCTCAATGCTACAGGTACATTCAAATTTAATCTCTATTTTAACTCGTATACCACTTCTGCTTCTTTGCATAATCTCTACTTTTTGAAGTTTCATAGCTTTTTACAAGTTTTATCATATTGTTAACATTGCTTTATCTTAATTCTTCTCTTGTATTTTGGTGTATCAGTGTACGATTTAGCAAGTTGGACTGTTACGTAGTAATGCTAGGCCCTATGCTGATGTTGGTTAATCTTTATATCTATGTATGTATGTATGCATGTATATAAAATCACGCTGTTTGGTCTCTATGTGTTTTATGTCAAATTAGATAAACCTCAAAATCCGGGAGGACCTGTCGAAGGTGAAAGTGGACCTTTAAACCCTGGCAAATTTGATCACTATACTAAAGAACAGATTATTGGTGGTGGAGGAGGGAGTTCTGGAAGTGGTCATGATCCTTTCGTAAAGTGCCGCGAATGTGGTGGACCTTTGAAATCTATTGAACCAACTACTTCATGTAATTATTGTCTTTTCCGATGACTAATTTTGACTGAGATTGATGCCCAGTTGATGCCTTATTCATATTTTTGTCTAAAATGGTACATTTTTGTTCATTGCAGTTTAAATTAAGCATAATCACTGTAATTATGGATGTTTCGTTATATATTATTCATTCATAGCCATCCATGTCGTCGTTTACCTATAGTTCTGTTTTACTAATCGTGTTTAGCACTTTCACCTTGACAATTTTCACCCTAAATTGGTTTCCAGGTTCCGTATTGCATATGCTGAATCAGTAAAGAAGCTTGTCGTAGAGCGGAAATCCGATATCGGAATCCATCTTAATCTGTCACTTTTTTCTTAGTCTGATGAAAGAATAAGGGTTAAAGTAGTTCTATGACTCATCTACTTAGCTATTCAACCTTCGAACTCACTTTCAGGAAGTTATTTGGTTTCCTCGACCGTCACAAAAAGTATAGTTCAGCCTAGGGCACAAATCTACACGTTCCTACTAGGCTGCATGATGCAACAAAATACATCGAAATGGGTAAAGTAACATACTAGATGAACGATTTCATAGAAGTTACGCAATATATTAATGATGGATAGTGGCTATCAGTGAAATCCAAGACGCTCGTTTTGTCCTATTTGGAACTCATCAGCTGGATGTGCCTGCGTCCCAGTGAGTGATGTTGTTCCTACCGGGACTTGAACTCGCGACCGATCGTTTCAAACACCAGAACGTTATCAACTAGACCACCGAGCCACGATATATAATTAAATATATAATTAAAACAGGCAATATCGTGACATCCGCGCAAGAGCCTATATGCCAATAGAGACCGATCATTTCGTTCCAAGCAACGATGGGATAATACAAGCAACAACACCAAATTAGGTAATATTCAGGTTTTAGATTCAATTTATCACTTGACCATTCTATCTCAAATGAAGCTGTAACTCTTTAGTCTTGGTAATTTAGTTCAAATTCCGTTCCACCTGCTAAGGTTTGGGAGCCCAGGTAGTATCGTTAGGCTTCACGCGATAAGTGTGGTTTATTGCCTTTTCCACGAATATACACTTGGTTGCTAAGTGCATTTCGTAACTTAAATCCCTTATAGTCACAGTAACATCTGGATTGAGCACGTGCACCTCCCGTGAAACATCTGTGCTTGCTCAGTGTTAAGCATGAAGAAAGTACAAGATGTTTCGAGATGAAACTTTGCATAAAATTTGTTCAAGGCATTCATGATAAGTACTCTAGTAAGGCTAAAGTGTGTATAGATGTTGAGTTTCATGTTTATTCTTCCATAATTCGAATCGAACTGAACCGAAATCCACTTCCCAACCTTGTTTAAATCCAAGCAGTAGGCAATAAACCACACCAGTTGTGCAACGGCTAATGATACTACCACCTGACTACCTAAACCTCACTAAGTGGTGCAGTATTCAAACTCACAACCCACATAGTTGAGCCCCAACTCCCTAAACCTAATGAGCCACAACTCATAGTAATTATAACAGTTCAGTAGATTAATGGCTATAGAATTCACTTAGTTTTAAAAGTTTCCAATGAAACCTTTAATATCTCGCTTTGTCATGTATTTACGATCCATAGGTAGATCGGGGATATGACCTAATTTTAAGACATCCCTTAAGTTATCTGTTTATGTAGCAGCTTGTAACGATATTAGAGTGCTGATCTGTTTTTTATAGTTAATTTTCATACCATTTCTGTCGACAGGAGATTATTGGATGTCATGAAATGAGATTCAGGAAATACGATCGTGATTTTTCCTATATCTGTGATGGGCAAATAAACTTTTAGTTTTCATATACTTGAATTATATATATAGTATTGAAGATTTCTATTAGTTGCTCTTTTTCATCCAACATTCAATTATTTCTAACCATAATTCTGAATAATCTAGTCAACAGTTATGTGGAAGAATTTTAACTGGATTGTCGACTATTGGGAGGTGAGAATCCCCACCAACTTCATTCACATAGATCTTTCCACATTAAACGTTACTCATAGCCTAGTGCAGTAAAGTGTATTCGGTTGTTAAAGATCAGAAGCTGACCTTAATTAGCATTTAGCAACTAATTCATCCACGTAATTTGATAGTGAAGAGAGTTAGTGATAACGGAAGTAAGTGTGATTTTTCTGACTATATACCACATTTGTTTGGATTGAATTCCTTGAAGGGATACTGTCACGAAACACAAATGCAGGCTTTTCTAATGGTTGCTTGGAAAATATTCAACACTGACAAACTTCATGTTAATAAGGATTAGTATAGATGTTAGACTAATAGACTATGTCATTACTATTTGTTGATATATTTGTAATTCTCCGTTGTTATACTGGATCGAGTTATTCGACGTCTATTGGCATCCGCATAGAATCCCTTATAACAACGGGAAATTACAGGTATATCAAGAAATAGTAATAACTAACCCCCGTTTTGCAAGAGGTGACTGTCATCGCCCAGTGGTGTAGTGAAGAAAGCCTTGGAACTTAAATCGATGGCTACGAGGTTCCAGCCTCAGTGGGAACAACATCACTCACTGGGGTGCAGGTACATCCCACTGACGAGTCCCAAATAAGACGAAACGCACGTCCTGGAATCCTCTGCTAGCTATAATCAAGTAAATTATCATGATAACTATTCAGGCAATATCGAGGCATCCTCATAAGAGCCCATATACCAATGGAGGTCGCACACTTCGATCCAGTACAACAACGGAGAATTACAAACGTATCAACAATTAGTAATAACCAATACCCGTTGTACAAGAGTTGATTTTTGTGCCGCAGTAGTTTAGTGGATAACGCCTTGGAATTTGAAGCGATGGGTACTAGGTTCTAGTCTCAGTGGTGTGCAATTGCATCCGGCTGACGAGTCCCAAATAGGAAAAAGCGCATGTCCTGGATTTCTCTGCCACCCATAACCAGCATGACTTCATTTTTTATTTAAGAGGGATACCAGTGATATTGTAATCTATTTTAAAGGAGGTCTCCAACTTTTGGTTTCTTACAACTCATGGATTCTAAGTAGGTGGTGTCATCTCTTTATCCAACCATTTTCGGCTTTCTTCCAACCCTTAATTCGACTTTGACTACTATTGTAGTGGGAGTTACTGATTACAATGGATATAAGTAGTATGTGGTGAGAGGGTGGAAGAAATCATAGGGAATTGCCAACAGTGGGTAAGAACTCTCCCCAGAGAAACGCAAGAGACAATGTAGGCGTATGAAGAGCAAATCAGGAGAGAAGCAGAAGAGGAAATGAAGAATATTATGCAAATGACGGTTTTAGTACAAGGTGTACGATATTTGATGACTACTGTACAAGATGTCAATAATAAACATTCCTTACTTCATCTACATCTCGTCATTTTCTACAATTATTCACCTCCAGTGACTCCACCACAGCTACTACTGTACCTATTAACTGCATGGTGACCTTGGCCATCTCGCTAATATCCATGGATTGGGCTGCGTTGACTAGTCGTAACTGCTGGGCGATGGCGTTCGGGACACTTCCAGGGAAATGTGCAGCCAGCAACTGCTACTGGGAGTCCTCATCCAGAGTGGGAAATGCTCGTCGAAGTGGTTTAGTCAACTTCACAGCCAAGACCAGCGGATCTTTGTCTATTTCCAGTTTCGTGCTCCGGAACTGCTGAATCGCGAGCTCCCTGTCCACTGGGCTGTCAAACTCCGCCTTCAGTCGTTCAACTATTCTCTTAGAAGTCCTTTTCCCATCCACACGTTCCACACCGTCATATACCGTTTTCGCTCTACCCCTCAGCTGCGTGCCAAGCACCACGACTTTCGCTTCTAGATACCGGACACCCACCAGCTCCGCGACCGACTCGAAGTTCTTGATGTCTCCATCCTCGAACACTGCAGGCCACAGAGTTTTGATCACATCAAGAGGCAGCGACACCAATTGTAGAAAACGACGAGATGTAGATGAAGTAAGGAATGTTTATTATTGACATCTTGTACAGTAGTCATCAAATATCGTACACCTTGTACTAAAACCGTCATTTGCATAATATTCTTCATTTCCTCTTCTGCTTCTCTCCTGATTTGCTCTTCATACGCCTACATTGTCTCTTGCGTTTCTCTGGGGAGAGTTCTTACCCACTGTTGGCAATTCCCTATGATTTCTTCCACCCTCTCACCACATACTACTTATATCCATTGTGATCAGCAACACCCACTACACTATCATGTTCAGGTAGTTCTTATACAAACCAACTGGATCTAAAAAAAATATAATGCTAGTCACTTACATTATGTAGTTAGTAAACATGTCGTTCTGTCTATAAAAACGGTATCATTAACTGTCAAAGAAGGGACATAAAACCGAACATTCGCTAAAAGAATGCTTTCTGTTAGCAACAGCTAACTTCAATCAGGGATGGGGAGTCGGAGAGGAGGTACATTTGTCCTTTCTTAAAAGTCCTGAAAATTGTAACTTTTCGAGGAATATTTTGTAAAATGTATGAACTAAGATTCGAAAGCCTTTTCCCACTATTTGAAAGGGTAAAAATACTCTGAAAACAAAGTTAAAACTGTTGATTAGAAGATCTTATTAAGTAACACTTTTAAAAGGGATAAATCTTGTGATATGAATATTTTTATTGGTAAGATTTCTATATCAATCTAATGTTTATAAATCATCAATTTTGAAGCCCTATCTTGCTTTGATATATATATATATATATATATATATATATATATATATATATGGTGACTTTAAGGAATGATCCACAAAATCCAGTCATTATTTGCATTTACTTGCCCTGTTATACAGTCAGCAAAAATTTAATTACTCCTTAGTTTTTATCGCCTTTTTTTCATGTTTCTTCATAATTTCATAGATGAAGATTAATGGGGCTATGGTCCCACCCGCCTGTGAAGGTTCAGGCAGCTGAGTAGTATCACTGACCCAGCACACAATATGTATGGTTCACTGCTTACTGCGCGAATGTGCGCAAGGTTGTTGAGTATGTTTCATTTCACTCAAATGAATACTAGTAAGGCTGTTTTCTGTTTTTCCTGTCTTTTCTACAGACGTATCACGTTTCATGAAATGTGAAGCCTGTCAACAACTCTATTCAGTGGTTGACGAATCTGTGGCTAAATCACTCGAAAACGTTGAAGAGAATCGAACTTCTCTATTGCCTATCCCTAAAGAGGTAAGATATATATTTGATATTAAGCGTATCGTGTTCATGGAAACAGATTTTAGGAGTTTACTCAATAGGTTTCCTTCCATTTTTATTGGAGATGTGACTCATTGGCTTAAGTACTTGAGTTTCAAGCAGTGGATCACATAGTCGAAATCTGTTTCGTTTACTTCGTAATATCATAGTGCCTTACACAATATGTGTGACGGATTGAACTGCACTAAGTTACTACCTTTTTGCTTCATACATCATCCCGATTCGTTGTAGGTTAAGCTATCAACATAGCTAATATCTAGGGTCATTCTGATTTCAATGCAGTTAAACAGTGAATCATACTGATTATACGCAAGTCTTGTTACTTACTACCCTAGTTACTCAAATTTTGTTTCATTGAATGGGATTTGAACTGAAAACCTATTGACTAAAAGTTGAGTACTTAATCAAGCAAACCATATCTTGCCCTTAAACACTTAGGTACTTGAACCTTTCGACAAGCAAAACTCAGCAAATGATACGATTAAAGATATGCGGAGGTGGAAAATCGAAGCGAATACACAGTTTTCATTGGTCTCATCTAACTTACCTTTTGAAATGGTATAATTTTTAAACATGACACTAAGTGGATAAAAACATTTTTGAGTGACAGCTATTGCACAGGTAACCAGTATTTTTAGATTTTAGGCAGCTTTATGAAATCATTAACGCAAAACAGAATGAATTAAATAAACTGAAATTGGTATTAAAAATTATTCAACACGATAATAACGACCAGATGAAAAACGAAAGGTTTACTAATAAATAAATATTAAGTTACCGTAAGTCGGTTTGAGACTCAGTTACGTCTAGGTTACATCTAGGTTCCTTGAAGATTATCTGGAAACCATGGGAACTGTGGTTTCTCTTATACACACAATCCTGTCTCAGCAGTTCGCATGAGATGACTTCTCACCTCTTGTAATAAATGCGAAGGTATCTTGTTAAGTTACTGAGAAGGTATCGATTACGCGTGATAGTAGACAAAGTCAACATAAACTCCGCACCGATGTCCATTCGTTCAACTGTTGCCAAACTTTTGAAGATGAAGTAGATAAAAGCGATCGGATATCAAAATGTTAGTATGGAACTAGTAACAGTCTCCTTATATCAATATCACTAGTTGATGACACTTAGCAGGTAGCGAAAAAGCATTCGATAGTTGGTCCCGCAACTTTTATCTATAAGAGGTGAATTTATAAATTCACTGTCTCCCTTAGACTGAAGGTTTAGAAATAGTTTTTTCTCATGTATTGAAATGATTGATCTATGCCTTCTTATTACCATATTCTTCTGATTAAAGTTCTCTGAGTAACCATTTTTAGTTTATGTGTAAAGTTTGTTGTTAATTGTAGTTTCTGAGCGCATTCTTTTGATTGTGTGTTTGAGCAAAATTGTAATCAGATTTTTTCGGTCACAAACAAACAAAACTGTAGAATTGTGTGTATTCTCCTCTCCAATATGGTTTTTGCTATAGACTTCTAATAACTACTCCTTTATTATGTCTGCTATAGAAGACATTTAAGAATGGAATTTTTCTGGTTTTCAATTTCATGTGAAAATCTGATCCTTGGGTTACACTTATTCCACTGCCTAGCCACCGTCTGCCTCGTCTCACAATGTTGACCGAAGTAGGTTCAGGCTGGAAAAAGGCTTGAGGCGACCAGACTAAAACATGGCATCAATGTATAAAGTTTTTGACTGTTGGTTTTGAACCATGTGGGGCAATGTAGACTAGCCTGTTTTGATGTCCACGGGACAGGAGGAACCAGTGGTTGGAGACTGATTGTAGGTGATATGGGTGAGAACGGATGTGAGTGGCTCAGATGTGTACACATATTATCCTCATCATAACGACTCTATACCGAATCTCATCACTTTCTCATTCTCCTTTTCTCTCTTTTCGTACTTTATATTTCTTTTGACTGAATTTTGTTTTCTTCATCTTCCACTTCATTGGGTTTTCACTTGATGTACTGATATGAGGTGTGGCAAGTTGGACCATTACACAGTAATGTCTGATCCTATGCTGACTTTGATGGATGGGTGGATACACTCTTTCAAAGTAGTTGACCTGGTAGTGGACCTTAAATCTTATTACACCTTACACAGAATAAAAGTATTTTCCATATAATGAGAGAGTACATGTCAAAAGAATGTACTTACGTTTTAAAACCGTCGCTTTCTAACTTGCACATCAACACGGTGATTACATTACAAAGTGATCGATAGAATCCGACCCATACTTTAAGGCTAAATAATGTGAAATTGGTTACTCTCTCCACTGGCTAATCATTGTGTCTAATCAGGTCCTTTAGGAGTTCAGTCATGGCTTGAAAAGTTCATGAGTAACTTTGCTGACTGCAGTGCTCGATAGAAGGGAACTCTTCAATGAGACTGAAAGGGACCAAATATTAAAAGTATTTCTATACTTATATATATATATATATATATATATATATATATATATATATATAACTAGAGCTAACTGGATCTATTATACTGGAGCTTGTCGATCTGGGTCCGTATTTAGACAGCCCTGTCACTATGGATGGAGAGCAGCGTAAGACCAAGGTGAAATACACAGTTTTCAGTGCTGTTTAGGCATCAGTGATACATCGTATCACATAAGTGTTAAACATGTGGTTGCATAATACTGCATCAACTAACCAACTACTTATTTTCCTTATTGATCTATCTGATTTTGATGGTTTAACTCTGCTTTTTTCTTCTTAGATACATTCATACTTGGATCGCCATGTAATAGGTCAAGAGAAGGCTAAGCGGATTTTAGCTGTTCAAGTATATGCTCATTACAATCGCATACAGCATAATCTATCTCTGGTAACATCAGAAAGTGGTCTTTTTAGTTCGGCCTGTTCAGGTACTAGTACTAGTACTACACCAAGTGACGCTAAGCATTCTAGAAACAGTTCTTCTACTCCACGTGGTGGACCTTCACATCCGCGTTCTCAAACATCACCTGGCGATGCATATACAAGTTACTTACACGTTAGTAGTATGGATTGTCGAGATGATTTAATGCAACCGTCTGTAACACGTGAGTAGTATTGCACTAAAGTTTTCATTAATTAATGTTAGTAGTAAATTTACACCTAATGTGTTTGCTTATTATTGTTATTTATCCCTTGGGTTTCTAGTGGAACATTGGGCTTCACTAGCAGGTCGCCATTTCACTCTCTTCTCTCCAGTCTTGTCAACCTGGCTCCACGATTGCCCACAATCCTTTCATTTCTTTCTCACACCATCTCATTCATGTTACCCTCGCCTCGAATGTCCAACTCGTCGTTTCACATTCAGATTCCACTCGACCCCCCGACATGGCCGGGCTCGTAATGTCCCTAAACCGTCTTCTCAGTGTATGTTGAATCCAATCCTCTGCATATTCGTTGGTCGATGGGTTGTTGATTGGTTCGTTGCCAGCCAGGGAGCTAGCAGGCCAGAGTTCCTTTTTGCTTATCTGATCTTCAGTATAGAGCGTAAGCAGCTGTTGATGAATGTCTGTAGTTTGTTGGAAATGCTTTTTGTAACACGCCAATTCATTCTCTGAACCATCACATAGAAACACTGACTCAGTTGACTGACATTAGTGTTGACAATTCGGATTTTGTTCACTCTTTATGCTGAGTGCAGGAGATCTCCACACTAATTTCAGGTTAATGAAGGAAGGCTTGTCTGGCTGTCTTTCCAATCGTGGCTTTGACATCCTAATCTGTGCCGATGCTATCTGTAGTTGAAACGATGCTGCCTAGGTGGTAGGTGAAAGGGACAACTTCTTTTAGATTTCTCCCATCGGTGGTGCATGTTGTTGTTGTTAGTTGGGTATCTTCGCCACCTGTGTCTTCTCTACGTCCACCTGAAGGAGGTCCCATCTTCCTTCGTTGCCTCACCTCACCTCTTCTGCCAACTTGTGGGTTTTCGCCTATAGATCTTAGAGTTTGTGCGACACTAGTCATAAACCATCACTGGCGAAATCCAAATCTTCTGGCGAATACCTATCTTTTCTTTCCTCACACTTTGTTTCATGATCCAATCGACCACAATCAGGAATGTGATCGGTGATAATGAAAGAAGCAAGAAGACAGAGACGAAGGAAAGAGTGTTGATTGTCAACAAGTGGGACAGTAGTCGTTAAGTATGGTACACCTTGCACTAAAACCGTCATTTGCATAATATTCTTCATTTCCTCTTCTGCTTCTCTCCTGATTTGCTCTTCATACGCCTACATTGTCTCTTGCGTTTCTCTGGGGAGAGTTCTTACCCACTGTTGGTAATTCCCTATGATTTCTTATATCCATTGTAATCAGCAACGCCCACTACAGTAGTAGGCGGCAACCTTGTCTTCACTTTAAAGACATCATTACTGAGCTTTCCCTTATGAATCACTTGGCACGTAGCAAACGTTAATGCTTACAAATTAGAAAAGTTAGTCAGTGATCATTTTCTCTTTCTAGTGATTTCGCCTTCTTGAAATTAGATTTCGTTCTAAAGTCTCATGAATGCTTGTCATTTCATTATTTTCTAGTTAGTTGACACTCAACTATTATCAAGTAAATCATATAGCCTATATTAGTAGTAGGGAGAAAATGAACTAAAACTGTACTACTCAACTTTTTATTAAATGTATCCCTGCTTTTCTGTAGTTCTTCTTTGAAATAGCATTTTATGATATAACTGACAGATGTTATCAACGTAGAACCTTGCACACATGTGCACTAATAAAGATTGGTGCGAATATTTAAGCTCTAGAAGATAACGAGTGAATACATCTGCGTTATTGTGACTGATCCAAGAGTCCTCAACCACTGATTCCTTTCGTCTCGGTGACCCAAACAAGGCAGTCTACATCCCCCCACACGACTCAGACCAACAGTAAGGGACTTCGTAGACAAGTGTCAGGTCTTGGTCTGGTCACCCTGAACCCTCTTCCAACCTCATTCAACTTCTGACATGGCATCTCGACGTAGGTGGTGACTTGGGATGCACAGTACATGTCCAAGCCAACTTAGTCGACTAAGGTTCACGTCATGTCATGTCTTGCCTAATACCTTTCGCTTGATCTCATCATCGCTCACACTATGATTCCATCAAATATAAGCAGTGTTACGAAGACATCTGTAATCAACCCAGTAATCGCTTCACATCTACTTTTAACGACCATGTCTCACAGCCGTACAACAGGACAGAATGAACTGCAGCGCAGTATACTTGTCCTTTGGTAGATTGTAGGACATCTCACCGGCACCGTAGGTGATGGAAGTTGGCAGATGCCAAATGAGCCTTCTTTATCCGTTCGGGGGTGATGGAAGTAGGGGAATTAGCCAATGCATTCAAACGCTTCATTTCTTATCATTAAACTGGGAGCGGTTGCAGGGATACTTTGAGTCCACTTCAGTAGGTCCTCTTTCAATCAAACAGTAAAATTGTGTAGATATTCAGCTGAATACAACATACATCGTCTCATTACTTGCCTTCCCTTTTGATAATGTCTAATGTATCAACCCTTCATACAATCATATCTTTTTAAGTGTCGTATGAGCACAAGTTATTTTTCTTACGGAATATCTATCATTTGTTTTTAGTTTTAAGGATCTGGCGTATTTTAAGCTTTATTCAAGGCATTCACTGTTGTACTAGATAATCAATATGTAATTGTCGGTTGGATGGTAGCAATCAGCTGGAAGCCTTGCTCCATTTGGGTTTCATGCTTCTCGGCACTACACTCATCAGCGAAGCGTATCTGCAACTTCGACGGAACTGGTGCTCCGCTTGATATTCGAATTCGCGTCACCCAGTGCTTCATTTAGAGACGTTACCACTGAGTTATTCGGGTCGTGATTATCGTCCTGTAAGACTGGATTGTCCTTGGTAGAACATAACCAGTTTGATCGGTAGGTTTCGATCAGTACCAAGCACTCACAACTTATTACCTACAAATATGTTGCCGATCGATGACCGATCCATATGTGGTTCACCTTATTTAGAATCGCTTTTTTACTTAGGATAGATGCGAAAACTTCAGTTGACAGGTCGATGCTTATATGCTCCTCTCTCTGGCATAACTCAACCTCTACTTTTACAATTTATTAATTTCTACATTTTACCTATTCTTTTACATTGTTCCCTGTTGATGTTTCCTGGTCTACTAGGAAAGGACTATCTTAAATTGCGTAGGACTTTGAATGCCGTCAGTCAGTAAGGTGAGTGCCGTACCTCTGGCTCAACTGATTAACACTAGTTGACAGACATTTCAACTCCAGCAGACAACTAGCTACAGTTATTTTAACTGATACTGAGCATCTACTTCATCATTCACAGCTCTCTCCTTGTATCTCCTCACGGTTGAGGACAAGAAGAAATTACATCAGAGTGGACTCTTGAGCAGCGAAATTTAAGAATTTGGCTGTATCTTATATAGCACGCATATTATGTGAGAAGAAAGTGTTAGAACAGAACTCACTTATCAACTTTCTAACAGTTAAACAATCCCATTTCAATAATTTAATTAAAAACATAAAATTTTGCTCTTTATATTACATAAATCTTTATGATAACAATTCCAAATGTTGCATAGGAGTATATACCTACGTATATTTTGTTGTTGGTACTGCAATATTTCATGCTTAGAATTCTAAATTGTACCAAAAATTTAGGATTATTGCTTGTACTACACCGTCGTTGATTAGATCGAATCGATCAGTCTCTGTTGGTATATGGGCTCCTGTGCGGGTGCCTCGATATTGCCTATGCCTTAATTATGTATAGTAATGATGGGTAGTGACTAGCAGTGGAATCCAGGATGCGCATTTCGTCCTATTTGAGACTCGTCAGCTGGATGTACCTGCATCACAGTGAGTGATGTTGTTCTCAGCGGGATCCGGACTCAGGATTCCACTGGGCTCCACTGCTAGCCACACTACCCATCATTACTGTGCTAAAAATTATTTGAAATGAAGTGATTATTACGATTACCCTTACTATAATTACAAGCATTTGTAGAATGGATAGTGCATTTAAATGAAAGCTCACGTACTAGCAAAGAGCAGCATTGCAAGAAGGAAGTAAAACTTGAGAAGACATATGGAGATGACCAGCAAAGTTGACAAGAAAATTAAAATTGAATCAAGCAAAGATTAGCAAGTTAAGTTGTGGCGTATTGTTGTAGGCATTATGGAGTTGTGGCTTATAGGTTTAGGGGTTTGACTGTCAACTAGCGGTTCATGGGTTCGAACACCACCCGACCTGCCGATGTTTGGGCTGCCAGATGGTAGTATTATTAGACCTCACATATTAGGTTTTGATTCATTGCCTCTTGCTGGAACTTAAACGAGGTTGCTAAGTGGATTTCGATTTTGATGTCAACAGCCTCATGCTTACAACTGTATTACAGGTTTGAAGTCTACTTCGGCTTACAGAGGTTTGGAGAATCAGGTTTTAGCAGCAGTTCTCACACTGTAGTATGTAAATATTTATGTGGTTACTAATTTGACTTCGATACTTTTGATATTGGGTGATAGATAATTGAAGGTGAAATGGAAATTTGGATCGCAGCCGGGTTCGAACCAGCGACCATCGAGTATCCGACCCTGATGTTTTACCAACTTAACTATGAAGGCTGATTGGTGACTAGGTTTTTATGTCACTTCAATCACTAAGGTTTTTGCTCGGCTACCATGTGAATTCGTGACACATTACTGCCGTTTTATCTTATTGAGATTGGCTTCCTAGTCAGGACTTTTCATCCGAATCCAAATTTGTTGTAAGGCCTCAGTTGTGCGTAAAACATTATTATCGATCTGAATATTTTTTTTTAACTCGTCGTTTTCACGCCACTTTTTACATGACTAGCAGTTCATTTTCTATCTCCATTTGAAATATAATTCTCTGATTGGTTAATCATCCTTACCTTACGTTAATGAGTCAGTTTGCGGACAAGGTCATGTCTCATGTGTATACATACTCACGTGTTTTTGAACTAATTAATTGGTTATTTTCGATGAAATAAACTCTCTCATCCAGCTTCTGTCTTCTTTATTCTCTTCTCGGATTGCAGTTGGCGCCTTTTGCTTACGAAGTTAGCTGTTAGTTAAGCGTGAGTTTTATATCCGCTCTGAATATATAACTGAATTAGAGAGGGAGAGCATCATATTGATTATCATTTTGACTGAGATGACTATGGTTTGGTAGACTAGTGTGTTGATATTGGGTGATGATTGAAGCTGAAGTGAAAATTTGGACCGTGTCTGGATTCGAACCAGTGACGATCGGGTTTTTAACCCGATGCTCAACCAACTGAGCTACGACATTCAGAGTGAAGTAATGGTATTTACCTGAACACTTTATAACCTTAGTCTTAAGTGCCTTGACGAGTTTTTTTTGAATCAGAACTGTTTGTCTATCCTCTGAACCTAATACCCTTGTCGTTTTCTGTGTATGTAATCACTAATTGATCAGTGAAATGGAAAGAATTTATTGTATCCGTTTTATCATTGACTTTATGAAGTAATCTATATGAACCCAATAGAATTAGTTAAATGGCCTAGCCTGAGCAGGAAATTAAGGCGAAAAATGTTTCATGATTTAAAGTGCTTACACGAAATACTTAAGGACAGTTTGATTCTGAGAGATGAGATCAGGGTAAGAATTTTTGTGACTTTTGTGCATCTGACGAACTCTATGTTTGACAAACAGACAATCATATGCCTGGAACTGAATATTATACTATATATATACTCTTATTGATACTGGAATCCATCCTGCACTCCTTTCAAACGCCTAAATGTTATTCGTTGAGCTATGCACCACATATTCAAGAAGGTATTAGTCTTTGCGTTTATATATCTATGGAAGTTGGTAGTTTTTAGATACCATCAATTTGTGTTCCTTCTTGTTGTCAATTATTTTCAGTGAACATATGAAATGAAAAATTATGAAATTATGTTAATTTCAGGTTAGCACTCATGACGAACTGACACCAGTTGGAGAAACAGTAAAAACTTAAGAACAGTGAACAGCTGTTTCACTTTAATATGAGACTTTTCAGTAGTGCGTACCCACGACCCCGCCCTCCAGAGATCGAACCCAGGACCTTCAGGTTCCACGACCAGCACGTTACCGTCAAATGGTCGACATCCTCTACTTCTGTCAATGCCGTCATTGAGTAATTGTCTTGTTCAATTTGGTTAACCTTACACATCTCGACTTTTCATCGAAACTTTGGAAATCCCATCTCGAAGGAAGTCACTTTATGCGCAAGAGAATAATTCAATCTTGTTAACATGTTGGTCATGGAACCTGAGGGTCCTTGGATCAATCTTTGGTGGGGTTATGAGTGGCCGCTGCTGAGGAGTCCCATACTGGGGTGAAACAGTCGTCCAGTGCTCCCAGGTTCCCATTGTTTCTCCAACTGATGTCATTCTGTGATGAAAACCAACTTGAAATCACTATGTATATTAGCTGAAAAATATTGGATGTTTATATAACACGGAAGACGACAGATTCGGAAGATATACCATTTGAAACAAAACGAAGTGATCCATTATAGAGTTAACGTCTCATAGTCTTCTAATTGCAATAGTAAACGCATATCACAAGTGCGAACAAAAATAAACTTCTTTCTTATGGGTAGTAAGATGATGCTATTTTAATACTTCATTGGCTTGGGTAATCGATCTTCTTCCCATAGGTAACAGATTCAGTCACCGCTCCGCCTACCGGCGTTTGGGCAGACTGGTGGTAGTATCATTAGTCCTTGCACAATAGATGTGGCTTATTGCCTCAATGTACACCAAGGTTACTGCCAACACTTTGATTCGAATCATTCGAGAACGAAAGTTTAGGTTTAACGTCTTTCATTGATAAATCATTAGTCAATCAAGTGTAACCAATCGTACTCTGGCTGATCTTTCGAAGCTAATGCATTTTTAAATCTTGTTATGTTTGCCTAGTTCTTTAGTGTTGATTTTAATAACTTTCTGTGACTTTTGCCCACATTTGTCTTCCTTATCTGTCCATCTTTCATCTTTTGCTACCTTTTTTCTTGATCTGGGGATATTGAGGTGTAGCAACACTTAGGCTGTTACTCAGTGTCTCCAAGTCTCATGTTGATATTGAGTGATTGTCTGATCTACTGCTGTGTGAAGATAAGTTCCAGTCCACGTACTTTGATCCGGGAAATTGGTTAGTATCAAAATCCACTGCACGTTAAATATGGCTCGTAACCTAGTATGCATACATAAACTGGGTTGAGTTAGATTATTTTTTGCTATTTTCACCTGCACACTTACCTTACTTGAAAACTCGACGTATATTACACCACGGTTCTTCGGTTTTCCCTTTTGGTGCTGACGAAATCTCAGCTCAGATATAGAAAACTCATTTAACGTTATCCTACTTGCATTATCTGTGACGTTGATCGGCAAGACATCCAATTATCTACCAAAGGACGTCCGTTCTCTCCTGTTCTATGGCTGTAAGACGTGGCTGTTAAAAGTGGAAGACACAAAGCGGATACACTGTTTTGAACACACGTTTCTTCGTAGGACTGCTGGTGTTTGGCGAAATTATCGTGTAAGTAATGTTGAAGTCAAGCAAAGGGTACTGAGCAAGACAAACAAGTTGATTGATGAGGTTGTGAATCTTAGTCCAATGAGGTGGCGTGGACATGTATTGCGCTTGCCGAGCCACCCCCTATCTCAATATGGGATGCTAGGGGAAGCTGCGTTAAGTTGGGAGAGGGTTCAGTGTGACCGGACCGTAACCTGATATTTGTCGATGAAGTCTTTTACTGTTCTGTTGAGTCGTGTGTGTGTGTCGGGGGTAAACTCCGTGGTTGGAGTCCGTGAGACGATAGGATGAGGACTCTTAATGACATCTAAAACTTGAATATTTATACTAATCTTTATCTTGAAATTGTTTACTCTCCTACAAAACTTAATCTACTTTAATAATACTCTTTTTCTATCCACCTTTTTTTGTGTAGTACTGGGAAGTTTGGCAACTTGAATTGATACACTTATGTGGAAGGTTCTACGTAAATTTTGTCAGTCAGTTATTTCTTTATGGTTGGAGGCATTATTTTTTGCTGTATGATAGTCAGCTTTTATATTATAAGTGTTTCTATTTCTTCTGATATCTATCTGCTATCCCAGCTTGTGTACGTCGTCTCTTTAACGAGCCAATAACATCTATGGTAGAGGTATTGTTAACGATATGAATAAATTGATTGTGGTTGCTAAACTGTCTTCAAGATATCTTCTCATTATATTGTTAGAATATCGGCGTCAGGTGTAAATTATCCAATGAAGATAACAAGTTACAATTCATATGGATCGGTGTATTTATCAGAGATGCATACTTACTGTCCGCTTCCAACTATTCATTATGATCATTGTCTATCAACCTATGAACTTTTGTTGAATGAATTTTTAGACTAGTTATAAATCATTAAATGCTTTTGCTAATTAGGTTGAAGCTATGACATTTATTTCGTTTATACTACTCAGTGTTTCTTCCAACTGATGAGTCACAAATAGGCTGAAATGCACATCTTGAATCCTGACACACTAGTCACTAAGATTATTTATTATTATTATTAGTCCCTTGAGTTCCTAGTGGAACATAGGGCTTCAGTAGCACGCCTCCAGTGACCTCTGTTCTCTGAGATCTTTTGAACCTGGTTCCACGACAGCCCACAAGCTCTCATTTCCTGCTCGCACGACCTCCTCCATGTCACCCTCACCTCAAACGTCCAACTCGTCGCTTCCCATGGGGATTCCACTCGAGGGCCTGACGCGTGATGTCCTCAGTCGGCCTTCTCAGTGCATGGCCAATCCATCTCCACTTCTTCCTGCATATTTGTTGCGTGATAGATTCTTGGTTGGTTCGTTCCCAGAGTTCCTTGTTGCTTATCTTTTCTGGCCATCTGATCTTCAGCAGCGAGCGTAAGCAGTTGTTGATGAATGTCTGTAGTTTATTGGAAATACCTTTCGTGACGCGCCAAGTCTCTGAACCATACAGGAGCACTGACTTGACGTTGGTGTTGAAAATCCGTATCTTGTTCCGCATGCTGAGTGCAGAAGATCTCCACACTGGTTTCAGGCTAATGAACGCCTGTCTTGCTTTTCCGATTCTGACTTTGACGTCGTCGTCCGTCCCGCCTGTAGTTGAAACAGTGCTTCCTAGATAGATGAAGGAGGTTACTTCCTTCAAGTTTCTCCCGTTGACGGTGATTGGAGTTTGTTGTTGTTGTTGTTGGTGGTGCGGTATCTTCATCACTTCTGTCTTCTCTATATTCACCTGAAGTCCTCATCTACCAATAAATAATATAACAGTAATCAATGTTTGGTTTCTATTTTCAATAGGTGAAATTGTTGATTTTCATTTTAAGCTTAACTTGTTTCATATACAATGTTCATTGTATATTTTGTAATCATTATTACTAAGTTTTAAGATCAAGTGTAAAAAGGCTTTCAGATAGTTATTAATTCAAGCAGAGAAGGAGGGGGATAATTTCAACTAGCCAGTATTTTTATTATATATATAAACAGTTTAATGATATCCATGATAATCAATATCTTGTCTATAAAATAGTCTTATTCACTGTTATATAAATTTTTATCTCAACATCTATACATACTTTTATTCGTTTTTCAGAAATGTTGCATTTCTTATACCATAATTCAAAAAATATGAATATTGGTGATAGTCCAACAGGTTTATTATCATCTTTTCCGTTCACTGTAGACAATTCACATGAAGAGAGAGGAAAATATCGTCGTGGTTCACGAATTATTACAGATGATTCAAATGAAACAATTAAACTGGAAAAAAGTAATATAATCATGTTAGGACCAACTGGTTCAGGTAAGTTGTTTTCCTTTTTTTTTTATATTTTATTTAAATTCTTTCAAAAAAATTAATGCTTAAAGTAGTATTTCATTCTTTAACCTCATTTATCGAATGTAATAAGTAATCTTGGAAGTTTGAATTGGAAATTAATTTTATTATGATATCACAAAAATGTGAGCAACACTGTGTTATGAACGTTTGATGAGAATAACTATTACTCTCTAGGTAGTATAAATCTTCATCATAGTTACATGACAGATCATTCACGTGAAGAAACACTAAACTGTGTGATGTTTTGTGCATGAGGTGTTACGAGTCAAGCCTAACTGGGTACAACAGTAAACCTCCTCATGGGCCAACTGGATATCATGTAATACACCGTTTAGTTGACTTGACGAAAACCGCGGTCGATGAGATCAATATGCACAAGATCAGTGATGTGTGGGTCTTCAAAGCATAAACCATAAGGTTAGGTAGTCCAGCTCCCTAATTTCGGTAGTTACTGTTATCAAAGCAATCTTTGTTGAAGCAGTCGCTAGAGATGGGGTACGGTTTGTCTTACCGGTATCTGGTCCAGAATGCCGGTGTAGTTACCCCCCTAGCCCTAATAGACAGACTAAAGTGGTAGAAGTTGGTAGTTTAATCAGAAAATAAGGTTTGTATGAAGTTTAGATGCCACAAACAAATGGATAATTTGGGAAGTAATAGCTTCATTGTAGGGAAAGAAGGACAAATGCGGTAAAGGATTAGAAAACTAACTGTTTTATGCTAATTGATGCTGCTTCTGCAGTTTAAAGGATCCTGAGCCCAGTACCTTTTTACCAAGTCAATGAGAACCCGGTACAGAATGGAAAATGACTTATTTATATCCACTTTACGGTTTGTTTCAACTAAGCGTGCTAATAATATGGAGCTGGTAATGGTCTTTACCACACCTTTGCTCAATCATCCTGGGAGATGTTCACGAGCACGGAAAACTAAATTCCTAGACTAGCCGCTGACATAACTGGTTCCAAAGGAGCAATCGAACTGATAAAACAGAAACAACAGAAAGTGTCCAGCCTAGGCTGTTCATCTTTCAGTCTCGGTGTCATTATTAGGCGTGTGAATGATGAAAATTTTAATTTACCAGCATTTAAAGTTCTCTGAATTGATTTGCCTAATTTGTAAATTGATATCTTGTTGAGCACGTCCCCTCTAAATTGTACTTGGATGCATGGCCTTTGGAATATCGTTTCTTGCTACTTTTGTATTCGGATGTTTCTTCTTGAATTTATAAGGAGTAGCCACTTTTGATTAGTGCATTGCGTGAAGTTGTCAGTTCCTGCTCAATTGTATCTTCCGAATCTATAGCCTTTATTCTGTAACTTACAGTTTTTTTAATTGGATACTGTCCTGTCCTCATACTTTCTCTTAGACAAATTCCTCTTTTTTAGGTGTGAATTCATCATTGACAGACATCAGTTGGAGGGACATTGGAAAGCTGGGAGCACTGGATAACTACTTCGTCTTAGGATGGGACTCTTCAGCAGTGCGCACCCACGACCCTGCCAGCGATCGAACCCGTGACCTGCAGGTTCTATGGCCAGCACGTTGCCACTGGGTCAGAATCCAGTGGTCCATATTCCCAACTCCTGTCAGTTCACAACCTAGCGCGACCATCATCCAATGTCATCGTTGAGTATTTGTTCTCACGGCCACCAAGTTTACCCTACTGGTAACGATTTCTCATTAGAACTTTGGGAATCAATTTTCAAAGCTACTCATAAATGAGCACCAGTTCAGTTGAATTTGGAGGTTTGTGGGGATTTAGAGATTTTTGAAGCTGGTGTTCATCATGGACTGACATCAGTTGTCCAGTGCTCCCAGACTTCCAATGTTCCTCCAGCTGATGTCAGCCCATGATGAATTCCTATCTAAAATCAACTAATAAGCCTTCACAAACCTCTAGATAGAAATTCCTGTTTATCAATTCATCTGTTAGTCTTGAGAAAAGAACATCAATGAAAGCTATTTAACCTTCTGACTATCAGATTGAACAATCATTTGGTTTAGTGTTGATACACCTTTGTATGATATCCGTCTACACATCTGATTACAAGTCGACTGATACTTAACAAGCATAGGTTAAATGTCAAACCTTACTAGTTAATCCTTAACTCCATCACATAGAGACAAACAGTGCAATAATGGTGTCTGTGAATAGTCTTTCTAGAATGCTATTTTATTGAGTTAAGGAGAACAAGTTAATCCCAGCTTGTTTACCACTATTTATTACTCATCATTAGGTTCTGGATGGAATACACTGACTGATTTTATATTGATTGGCATCATCTTTACATAAATGAAAACGTATGTCATTTTTTTTGACTACTATTACGGAGGTTTTACCGTAGTTCGCCTACTAATTACTAATCGCCTGTGTTACATCATAAGGAATATGATAGAACAATTCAACTTGACTGTATAAGTGTTAACGTCCTATCATGTCAAGTTGTAGCTTATTGATTTAGGGAGATGACTACCAATCGTTCAGCCGCAGGTTCGAGCGGGGCTTCCAGCTACCGAGGTTTGGGAAACCAGGTAGTATCATTAACCCTCACACATTAGGTTGTGGCTTATTGCCTATCGTACGAATGTGCACAAGGTAGCTGAGTGAATTACTTTTCGTTCATTTGTAACGCTCGTTCTAATCAGGGAAAAATCTGACTTCTACCAAAATGTACCATTTTCATTGATTAAAATGTAAATCAACTGTGAGCCTAGGCGTTTTTGAAATGGTGGAAAATATTTGTACCTCAGGTGGATGGTCTTGGTTGTATTGTACGCTCTGAGCTGGATTGTTTAGTCGTAGAGCTTTCATCTTCTTTCTAGACGACATGGTTAAGAGATACGACAGATTTTTCACGGAAGATAGAGACCCCTATGAATACTGTGACAAGGTTCAGCATGAAATCCCAGCGACAAGTCAAGCAATGACAGCATTTATAACGCTGCGAATACCATGTCACTTGGAAGAAGAAGTTGGGTGCCAGGTTCAGGAAATGCCAAATCAAGGCATTATTGAACAGGCTGATAGCCCACACAGTTCGCCAGTGCCTTTAGTAAGAACGTGCAATAGGAAATATAGATTCTGTGTTGATTTCCGAGAGTTAAACAGCATAATGCAACTGAAGCCGTGTTCCATGCCGATGGTAGCTGAAACACTGGATCGGTTGCAGAATCCAAAAGTATTTACAGTTCTAGACCGGCGACCAGGCTACTAATAAAAGAAGGCGATAAAGAGAAAACAGCATTTATTGTGAGCAAGAAGCAATACCAATTCAAACGAATGCCAGTGACCACGGCGGTGATACGGCATATTGTCGAGGATCATGGTATGCCCAAGGTGATACCGATCGACTAAGTTCCTTGTTTTGAGAGTGAAGAATTCAAATCTTGTTTGGAGCAACTCGATATCAAGAGGATAAGAATGATACCGTACCACCCGCAGACCAACCACTTGACAGAACGGAATAACCGTACACAAGTCCAGTGACGAATTCCAAGAGGAAACTGCGACAGTTCTTGCGTAGAGCAGCATTCTACAGTGGGTTCCTCAAAAACTTCAACTAGATAGCAGTACGTTTATACAAGTTACTTGGTAACCCTAAATTTACGTGGACAGAAGAAGCAGAGAAAACGTTTGATCACATCAAGGAACTCCTAAATGATTAGATGACCACAGCAAGAACTATAGATCACGATATATATTGATATATTTTTGTAGCACTAGCACTGGGTAATAGACACGATGCATTCCACCAAAAACTATTTAGTGTACTACTAAACGCCAAACGTACATATATGGTCGTCATAGCATACAACTTCAAACTAAAGTGGGGAAACTGTTGAACAGAAAAGTACTTAGGTGACACCTTCGGGATCCTAGCTCAGTGAATAATTAGTGACGAACACTTGCTAAAACTATAACCGGGTAAGTATATCTTGCTAGCGAGTATCATTTTTAAAGAAAGACACTATCTAATTGGGAAGTCATTAACTTCAACCGAAAGTAGGATTTGGATGTATCATGTAATAGTTAGTCATCGTATAAGAGGAATACATCACCTCGACAACAGTACTTAGACACTTATCATGTATTTGTTTGAGCATGTGTACGTCTGCTGCATTCCAAACTGAGGCCAAAAATGAATAAGGAAATGGTGGATTTAAACAGGGATTGGTTAGTAGAATACGAAAACATTGTTCAGTTTGAGGAATTCTGGTGCTACTTGTAGTGTACTGTAATGAACAAGGTGACTAGTTGGGAACGATTCGTATCGACCTGTTTACCGGATCAGAGAGAGCTAACCATGGGAAAAAAAATCTGTATATCTTCTCACTCTCCCAGAGTGTGACATTTTGATAACTTACTCTGCATATCAAATTACTAAAAGCGATAACCAGATCCAGTGAAGCGATACCTCAGAAAACTAAAGAGTCCAATATCTAAATTAAAGAGGTCTATTGACTTAAATTTTACTCGGGCATAACTTCACTTGCTCAGGGTGTCACCAATAGCAATTTAAGAGTACTTCAACTCTGGTGCTTACGTGAGTGAAATCTTTTCATCTATTGCAGAAAAGGACTTGACCTCTCCTTTGGATGTGAAATAGTCGGTTTCTACATAACAGTAAAGACCACGTGACTTTTCAAGTGAAACATGGAAGTTATCAGATTGACTAAATCATCTGACTTCTCACTTAGTGGTATCGTTCCCAACACTTTGCTATTACCAACACCTTTGCGTAACCGGAGCTCTCTTAGCTTTTCTATGAATGGAATTGACTTATCTATGGATTCCGCAGATACTATACGAGAAATTCTTCTAAAATTGAAAATACTCCATTTTGCGCTGAATCTCAGTTGTTTCTCACTTCACGCATTATTGGAAACGATGTATAGAATGGAATAGAAATGGCATCAAACAATTGAACATTTAGTTGAGGCAATGAACACAAGTAAACAGATGTGCCACAAAAACCCTGATGGAACTTTGCTTTTCAGAGCAAGATGCATCTGAAAAACATCTTTTCGATATAAGCAGATGGAGTGACTGAATGACAAAACACAACCCATCCGTTGGATCATTTGTCAGTTTACATGGAAATCATTCAGTGAGGGGTGTATAGTGATGACCTGGTGGTGTACAATCAAACGGAAGCCGAACATCTAGAATTCATGGAAGCTGTTTTAAGACTCATTGACGAGTTTGGACTTCGCATCAATAAGTCAAAATATCAGATAGCCAAGAAGAGTTTTACATTATTAAGACATAAGGTTGGGAACGGTGAAATAAAACCGCTACCTGAGAAAATTCTGACGGTTCAAACCATTCCTTTTTTCATCTCTGTCTTCTCGTTTCTAGACGACATCTTCATACTGAAGTTAGTGCTGAAGATGTTATTTAGAAAGACTAAACAGCCCAGCTCAGACAGCACAATACGACCAAGAACCTAGGCGTGTTTGTGATTAGGATCTCATTGTTAGGTCATTGCATTCTAAGTATATTAATGTTTTGAGTTGTCACTCTTTGGTTTAGGCACTCAACTTAGAAACTGTGGGTTATGACTTCGAATCTTGCTTAGGTTTCCAATTTATACTTAATTAGATGGTAATATGTTATAACTTTTATCAGTCAACTGTTATTTCGTATCTATTAGACTCTTCAGAGCGATAATTTACTTGCGCTTGTTATCATTTCCTTTTACCTGTGTACCATTATAGTTTTGAATTCGCCTTCTGTCTATCATAGCTACCACCAGTGTTGTATGATTCAAAAGATAAGTATAACGAACATACATAGATGATAATATTTCCACCTTGTCTTTTTATATTTCTTTATCGTAGGTAAAACATTGTTGGCTCAAACTTTGGCTCGATGCTTAGATGTTCCTTTTGCTATTTGTGATTGTACCACATTAACTCAAGCTGGTTATGTTGGTGAAGATATTGAGTCAGTTATTGGTAAACTATTACAAGATGCAAATTTCAGTGTGGAACGTGCTCAACAAGGTATAATATTTTTAGACGAAGTAGACAAAATAAGCAGTAGAAGTGGAAACTTTCATTCAATACGGGATGTTGGCGGTGAAGGTGTTCAACAAGTGAGATATTATATATTCACTTCATTAAGTTGTCGTCATCGTTTCAATTTTTCTTGATAATTTATTAAAGGAAACAAATAAATAGGAATGGGACAATTGTGTATCAGTCTGAGTCAAGACACTTTTTATTTGCACATCAAGACAGAAATCTACAAGAAAGGGGAAATAGTAGGACGAAAATCATAATATTCTCAGTAACTATGTAGAGATGTAAGACAAAAACTAACAGATAAAAAAATAAGACGTAGATGCATCTGGACCACTACGATTCATTTTTACCTATATCTTCTATAACCTGCACTCGTCAATTTAGATCACCTTGTAGACCTCAGCGATGTTAAGGTGAGGCGAAGGGAACTAGGCAAGACAGGCAAGTCGATTGATGAGGTTGTGAATGTTAATCGAGTGAGATGGCATGGACATGTATGGTGCATGCTGAGCCATTGCCTACTCCAACGTGCTATACTGGGGGAAGTTGGATTAAGTCGGAAGAGGGTTTAGGGTGGTTAGACCAAGATGTGGCGTCAGTCGATAAAGTCTCTTACTGTTTGTCTGAATCCTGTGGGGAAAATGTAGACTACGTGACTGGGGTTCTGCGAGATATAGTTGAAAATTGTTCGCAATGGCTCAGATGCATTCACTCTTTGAAATCTTCTAGTGTTTGCATGTTTTGACTAACCTTCATTTCTAAGTTCCTGTTTCTACCATACAAATTTATCTACTTTGATATCAACCTTTTGGCATCCACTTATTCTTTGTGTACTGTTGTGAATTGTGGCAAATTGAATCGATGCAGTTGTGTATGAGGTTTTATCTACTTTGATTTCGTCTTTTCAGACCTCAACCAGATTTTGTTATTATTATTTGTCGCTTGGGTTCCTAGTGGAACATAGGGCTTCAGTAGCAAGTGTCCATTTCACTGTGTTCTCTGCAATCTTTTGAACCTGGCTCCACGACTATCCAGAAGCTTTCATTTCTTCCTCATATGACCTCCTCCATGTCATCCTCGAACGCCCAACTCGTCGTTTCCCCATGAGGTTCAACTCGATAGCCTGGCCTGGTGCGTGATGTCCCCAAACTGTTAACTTGTAATGATATATAGATTTTCACTATAATCCTTGTCCTCACTCCAGTATTTCAACGAATAATTCATTATCACCTGCTCATATGCATTGTAAAGGGCAGTGGGTATTGATAAGTATTATTGGAAATGTAGTCCACTGCAGTATCATAAGTGATTGCTTGTGAAAAATGCTTCCACTTTGCTCTCTTCTAACTTGAAACTAAACAGTTTTGTATTTCAGACATCTCTTTATCTGTTAGTTCATATTATTTAGTTCTATCGCTCTAATAATAATAATAATAATAATAATAATCGCTTTTTTCCAAGCAATATGTCTGATACAGTTTAGAGTTTTCAGCATGGAATATCCCAACAAATTCGCTTTCCATACAATATTTTTATAGGAAATAATTATTACGTCTGCATAGTGTTAATAAGAACAGTATTGAAGGCATAATTGCGAAACGGACACAGCTACAGCTAGTGTTACATAAGCATCTGTTCTCGATTTGGAAATTAACACAAAATCGAGTGTAATTTTGATGGTAACAGTTTAGTCAACCAGCACAGAAATTCATTCATAATCCCGTACAGATATCCTAGGAATAGTAATATGGTGTATTTTTCAGCATTTACAAATCCATTTCCAATTGATTGAATGTGTTTCCTTTATTTTGTTCTTAGCTTGAGAAATGAAATTACGAAAACATTTTAAAAACATGCTAGAGTACATGATGCATTCAGAAGATAATTAAAATATTAAAACAAAGTGATGAAAGAGAAGAATTTGATGAAATATAATTAGTGGCCCAAGATTTAAGCAGGCCGCTTGCTGGTTAACGTTTACATAATGATTATATCAAGGCAATATAGAAAGTTGTTATTCAGTGTAATATGATATGACGATCACATTCTCAAGAGATTAACTGTTCAATCTGAATTAATCTAAGAGCACATAGTTTCTTGATTTAGCGTTAAACAGAACATTAATCGATCATCTAGTGTTTATAGGTGATTATACTTCAGTTTATCAAAGCCAGGATCGGAAAATCAAGACTAGGCCTTTCTTTCATTAATCTGAAATCAGTGTGAAGATCTCCTGCACTCAGCATAAAGCGTGAACAAGATACGGATTTTCAACACTAACGTTAAGTCAGTGCTCTTATATAGTTCAGAGACTTGATGCGTTACGAAAAGCATTTCCAACAAACTACAGACATTCATCAACAGCTGCCTATGCTCTATACTGAAGATCAGATGGCCAGAATAATAAAAATAAGCAACAAGGAACTCTGGCCTGCTTGCTGCCTGGCTGGCAACGAACCAATCAACAACCCATCGACCAACGAATATGCAGAGGATTGGATTCGACATACACTGAGAAGATGGTTTGGGGACATGAGGTGTCAGGTCAGGCCGTCGAGCGGAATCTGAATGTGAAACGACGAGTTGGGTGTTCGAGGCGAGGTTGACATGGAGGAGATGGTGTGAAGAAGAAGTGGAAGCTTATGAGAAGTCGTGGACCCATGTTTAGAAGACTAGAGAGAAATGACTGAAATGGCGACATGTTATTGAAGCCCAGTGTTCCACTAGAAACCCATGGGACAAATAATAATAATAAATCACTTTAGTTAATCAAGTTTAACATTTCGACTTACCAGTAATTCCCCCTTCCCCCCCCCTCGTTGTTATTCTGAATTGATTTGGTCTACCTTTCTTGGCATATGAGCTTCTATGCGGATGCTTCGAAATTGCCGAATTATTCATTAGATTGTGATTTGTTTGTTGGTGACTAGCAGTGGAATTGAGGATGCGTGTCGTCAGCTGGATATACCTGAAACCCAGTGAGTGATGTTGTGTTTCCACTGAGACTCAAATCCAGCCGACGAGTCCTAAATAGGATGAAACTCGTCCTGTATTCTACTACTAGCCATCATCAAGTAAAATGAGACATGATTACAGTATTGCCTTATACATTTCTGATCGATGTTTGTTTCTCTTAGCCAATTTCCTACTATTCTTCCTACTCAGCAATTTATTTGCTAACTGCATATGACTTGTAAAGTATTCTTAATAGTTTTTGATGATAATATGTCGGTCGTGACGACTGTGTATGTGTTTGATACAGGTAAATATAAAGATAACATTTTGTAAACTGTTGTTTTAGTACAATTTAGCGTGTATTCTCAGTCATGATAAAAAAGTAAAGAGGATAATTCATAAGTTCTAAGGGAAATATATATGCAACTTACTTTCTTATACTGTAATTATCCGTGTTTTTCAACCAACTTAACTACTTTACCAAAACCTAGACTATAAGTTGATTATTATACTACTCAGTGTGTTTTTCCAAAGTATATGTTTTGTGAATTATCTAAAATGAATTGTGGGATCAGCCCTGGTGGCTTTTTACCAACTTACGCCATCTGTGGGGCTACTGTGATATTCGATTGTCTATTGATTGAGGATTGCGTGTACTGCACAGCAGTTTGGTCTTTTCTATTTTATGGCTGTGAAACATGACCATTGAAGATGAAAGATATGAGAAGGCTTCAGGTGTTTGACAACCTTTGGCTTCGTAGTATAGGCGGTATTCCGTGATGTCACCACATGAGTAACGTAAAAGTGAGGTGTATAGTTTTAGGGAGAAGAGGTAAATCAGTTGACGAGGTTATGAACCTTGATCGACTGAGATGGTTGAGACATGTATTACGTACGCCTAGTCGCCGATTGCCTTGTCACACAATGTTGGACGAAGTAGGTTCAGGTTGTTAAAAGGTTTGAGGCGACCAGACTAAAACATGGTACCAGTGTATGAAGTGTCTGACTGTTGGTTTTGAGTGATGTGGGGCAATGTAGACTAGCCGGTTTTGATGTGCACGGGACAGGAGGAACCAGTGGTTGGAGACTGACTGTAGGTGATATGGGTGAGAATCGATGTGAGTGGCTCAGATGTGTACACATATTATCCTCATCATAACGACTCTATACCGAATCTTATCACTTTCTCATTCTCCTTTTCTCTCTTTTCGTACTTTATATTTCTTTTGACTGAATTTTGTTTTCTTCATCTTCCACTTCATTGGCTTTTCACTTGATGTACTGATATGAGGTGTGGCAAGTTGGACCATTACACAGTAATGTCTGATCCTATGTTGACTTTGATGGATGGATGCATAACATGAATTTTACAGTCTGTTAATGGAAGAAGACGTCACTAAGCGCTGTGGATATCCTTTTTCTTTCTTCAGTAACTTATAACTTCATATTCCTTTTAGAAATGTAGATAGTTTAAGTAAACAGCGAGTGTATATGAGTATTACAGATACAATAACATGTATACTATAGTTAGTTAGTGTTTTATTTCTTATTTTCTAAATACACACAAGCTTTTTCTACAGTCAACTAAAAACAGAAAATCGTTAACAACCATGATAGGAGTATATATTAAAACAGATAATAGACAAAGTTGAAATTTTCTTAACTATGGAAATTACCTTTTGTCTCTGATTGACTTTATTGTAATTAACTTGAATAAACTTCTGAATACTTGAAGTAGAGATCAATTACACTATCAAGGTGTTCACCTAGTAATTAGATAGTATAATAAAGTTAGAATAGTAAAATCGATAAATTAAAAATATTTATATGCAATGAATATTCTTAAAGTGATCATATAGGATGAATAAACGTTTTTGATTTCAAAGGTCACTTGAAATATACTTCGAAGTGAAGCGGAATTATCCAGTAGGAATTGTTAAAGTTTCTGACTGACTTAGAATCTCGCGCACAGATTTATCAACTCAAGTTGCCACACTTAACAGAAGTATACAAAGAACAGGTTCATAGAAAAACGGTGACAAAGTTGTATGAGAGAATAAAAAAATTGATGATAACGGTTAGTCGAAACATTCAAGCTTTCGAAGGTGTCAAAGAGTGAATACATGTGTGCCATTGTGGCTGATTTTCATCAAGATTCCTCAACAACCACTGATTCCTGTCGTCTGAGAGAACCTAATCAGGCAGACTACATCTCCCTGCACGACTCAGACCCACCATTAGAAACTTCACCAACTGTTACTAGGTATTGGTCTGACTGAAGGTCAGCATACTGGTCCTTTTATAGGTAGCCCGATATCTCACCGACGCCATAGATGATGCAAGTTGGCGAACGCCAGACGGGTCTTCTGTATCCGAGCTGAGATTTCGTCAGTAACCAGCATGTTGTAGATGACACATTTACAGTGTTGAAATCGGAACATATCGACAGTTTCTTGACACACATAAACTCAGTAGTTAACGCAATCCAATTCACTTACGAAGTAGAAAATGAACAAGGAGAATTACCTATGTTGGATTGCAGAATAAAACGAAGGATAGATGGTGGTTTAGATACTACCGTCTACAGAAAACCAACACATTCTAACAGGTATCTAGACTTCAAGTCATCTCATCCAGTGTCAGTTAAAGCGGGTTTAGTCAAATGTCTAAATAACAGAGCTGAGAAACTCACTAGTCATTGTAAGGACTTAAATAAGGAATTGAAACACATAAAAGAAGCGTTAATAATTATTAATTATCCCCATCATTTTATTAAGAAATTCACACGGACGCATAAGAAGCAAAATAATAACACTAATACAAATACAAATAATAGTGACAACATAAGTAGAAAGGAAATCAACACCTCTATTGTGATACCATACAAGGAAGGAACATCAGAAACCATACGTAGGATTCTCAACAAGGTTGGAATTAGGGTGGCATTTAAACCAACAAACTCACTTAGAGGTAAGCTGTGTCGGCTAAAAGATCCGATAGAACCAATTAAGCAAAATAATATAATCTACCAAATTCCATGTAATGACTGTGAAGTCAAATACATAGGTCAAACTAGCCGGTCGGGGTCAGTTAGATTAACAGAACATAGGAATTTAGCTAAACATAGAACGACAGACCCCAATAAGATCAATAACCTAGAAAAACACTCAGCCATTGCATTACATTCATTAACACACAACCACACAATAGGATGGGACAAAACCACTGTACTTAAGTCTAATATAGCTAGGTGGAGAGAGAGATTAATTACTGAATCTTTGTTCATCGAATCCACACCCAACACATGTAATAGGAATGACGCAACACCTATACCAGAGATATGGAAAACTTTACTACCAATCAAAAAATCAAAGAGAGATCAGGTGACAGGACTATAAAATCAGATGTCGAAAGAAGTGTGATTACATTGATATGATTATGAGCAATAATTTATGCTCGAAACGTAATCAAGTAAATAATACTGTATCACTGTGCGCTTTATATCAAATAAACAAATCTAATATGGAACTACATTCTACCACAGTGCCCAAATTTTTCACTTATATTAACCAGCATGTTTGACGGGCTGATGCAACTCCCTAAGCAAGTGAACGTATAGATACATTCCACCACTTCACTCTATGTCATTAATTTGGGAGCGGTCGAGTAGAAAACTTTGATTAGCGTTACATACTTGCTGGATGCTCTCTTCACAGTCAGACACTACCACGACACCTCCAGGTCAAGAAAGAAATGTTGACCGGTAGGTATGCCTGTGTCCCAGAACCTGTCGGTGGGTGAAAATATGATTGATGCACCGTCGTCCAGGTCTGAAACCTGCCTGGTTTTCTCGAGTATGCTGTTTTCGAGCTCAAGTTAAAGTTTCAGCTGAGTTTAAATTATGAGAGTATAAATTCTTTCCAAAGGCTGTGAGAATAGTAAAATTTCAGTGACCTTCATTATCAAATTCCTTCTCCAATCCAACCTTGTCTACTTTGATATCAATCTTTTTCTATGCACTTATTGTTTGTATGGTGGTATGGAATGTGACAAGTTGAATCGACACACTTTCATATGAAATTTCTGTTTTGTTTTATCTAGCTGTCTATTCGATTATTTGCAAGGGATAACTTTTGTTACACGTAGTTATTCTGTAGAAGATAATTAGAGACGAGGAAAGTTCAGATTACTATTTCATTCCGATCTATTTTACTTCAGAATGTGGATTTTCCACCACATCCAATACGTTTCGGTTTCTTAGTTCTTCACGTATTTTAACTGATGATAATCTATGATGAAAGTTGTTGAAAAATAATTGATTGCTCTGTAAATATAAGATAGTAAGATTGAGATTTTGCTGAATGTATATTTCTTCTGTTATGTGGCTACCAAAGAGACAGTAGAGGATATGGACATCGCATTACTGTGTAACTATCCAAGCTGTCATATGTTTGTATAAGCACATCAAGTAAGAATGTACTCAGATGAAAGAAAGCCAGTCAAAAGTGTTAGGAATTCCTCATAATGCGTGAATATATTTATGCTATTGAGATTGATTTTGAGGCATATTACCTAGTTTCTAATCTCTTTTTTCTGATATCCTACGAACTTCAACCGAGAAGTCTTCGTTTCTTTATGCATCTTAAACCAATGGTCAAAGATTCTATGCAATGGATATCATGCTTTAGTCTCTAGCCACCTCTAATCGACTTCAGCCAACATTGTGCGACAAGACAGATGATGGTTCACAACATCATCGATTAATTTTCTTCTTCCTCTTAAAACTTTATACCTGATTATGTTACTGAAGTAGTGGCACCATAGCACACATTTTATGCTTTCCAAGGTAATGATGGTCGAAAATCTGAAGCCATCTCGTGTCATGTCTACCTTTAATGGATGTTTCAAAGCCACTTAGTAGGATGGAGCGAACTGCAACACAGTTGTTTCAGGTTGTACTCCATTGTACTACATTTCATCTTCATTGGAATGATTAAAACAAATTTTCACTGAATTAAGTAAACAGTATTCACTACCTCTTGCATATGTATTTTTTACTGAGTGAAAAACAAAATTATTTTCCTGAGAGTATAATACTCAAGTGTACACATAGATGTTTTGCAAGTTGTGTACTTCATACAGTTTTCATATCTCATATGCTACACATATTCATAATCTATTTCACTCACTTTTTAAAACACAGAATTACTTTGATCGATATAAATTTTGACAGTATCAAAGTTCTCTCTTTATAATTGCGTTGATAAAGCTATTAGCATAAAACAGTAATCAAACAATACTTTAAAGTAATTTGAAGGCTTGTTGGGGGGGGGGGGGGGATTTTATTGATTTCAGTTTATGATTCATCATGAAATGATATCAGTTGAAAAGGAGAGATGTTCAACGATGACAAGAGTCAGTCTCAGTTTTTTTTTTTATGTAATACGTTAAATGAAAGAGTGACTTGTCAATAAGATATAAGACTACCAAGAAGGTTTAGAAGTAAAACTCAATCCAATACAGTTGACACTCTACAGAAATACCATCAGTACGCATGAGGCTAAAATTAATATTTTGACATTTAGAAGAGTGGAGTTTGAGACCATTGGTCAATTATTCAGAGGAATCTAAGTGAGAGTTAACTGATATAGAAACTGTCACGTCATTAGCATACTTAATAAAATTAGTTTTAACAGAATGAGGATAAATCATGCAAAAGGAACGAAAAGAGAAACTCAGAAAGTACTGCAACTTTGAGGCACACCAACCTCAGTAAGCAATGAAGTGAAGCCTCTCTCTCTAAGAATACAGTCACTTCGTAACCTATCGCTCAGTATCAGCTATAGTAAATTTATTTAGGAAGAGTGGTCTAGGAGCAGAGTCGAAGGCTTATACATGATCCAGGAAGGCATAGGGAACATATTTAGCAACTTTGTCTAGACTAGAAACAATGTTATAATGCAGCCTAGTTTTCCTGTGTTTGTAAGCAAATTGTTTTGGATCTCTGAAAGTCTTCAATGAAATTTCAAGTACAAGAAGATGTAAGTGCCATTTTAATATTTAAATGTATAACAAGTATACCGTAGAAACAATTTATGCTGAATTGCATTTATAAATTTCTTTTTTTATTTTCTAGGGTATGCTTAAACTTCTAGAAGGCTCAATTGTAAATGTTCCTGATGGGAAAAATTCACGTAAAGTACGCGGTGAAACTATTCAAGTGGATACAACAAATATACTTTTTGTTGCTTCAGGTGCATTCAGTGGATTAGATAAAATTATTGCTCGACGAAAGCATAAAAAGGTATACCTTTTTTTCTCTCTCATTCTTAAACTCACTACTACCAACTATTATTTGTGTATCCTGTTTGTTCTTAACTCATTCTACTATTTCAAGACAAGTGTGTTGAATCAATATTTCTTGCTAATTCCGTTCTTCATTAGTAGCTCAGTGGCTACTAATTACCGAAAATTCAGTTGTTGAACTACGATTATATAACAAGACAATAAGAAGTAATGGTACATTGACTGCTTATTACAGAATAACGAAGAAAATAAAATCGAAATCTACTTGGCGCATATTCGTGCGGTAGGCAGTGATCCATATCTATTTTCTGAGGGTCAAGGATACCGTCTAGCTGCCCAAATTTCAGTCGATGTAGTGGGGTTCGAACCAGCGACCCATTGAGTGAAAGTCAATTTTCTAAATCAATAGCCTACAGCTTCATCATGTCTAGTCCTAAATGAAATATAAGTCCAGAGATTTCTGCCAAATAACTCTAGTCTATCACTCATTTTGTATTGTGGGTTACCAAGCTAGAACATACCGTTGGGGGGATGCACTTTGGTTGGTGTTACTCGGTTGGAGGCAATCATCAATGAAAATTGGTTCCTTCAAGTTTGCACGTACGCCTTGTTGACAAGTGCTAATAAGCATTAAATCTGGGTCAAATAGGACTCCTTACCAATGACCTGCAATCAACTAATACAATATTCGTAGTTTGAAATTTACACTCTTGCTGATTTGTCCATTTCGATAGCTACATTAGAGTGGTCTTATCAGTGGATGACCGTTTCTTTCATTTGAGGCCGTGCTTATCATTAGTGTACCTCCTGACAGATTCAGCTTATAGGGCCAAATAGTTCAGATCAACTGAGTTTCACCAGCTCACTTCAGTGGATTCGTATATCTTGAATAGGATGATCAATTTGCAAATGATGTACAAATTACCCTGTTCACATTATTGTTCTTGACAATTTTGTATCAGAGATCAAACCATATTTGGATGGAGGATTGAAAAAAATCTACTCAACTAAGCTACGAGATCTGACTACTGACCAAATTTTTATTTCACCTTCAATCACAAGTGGAGTTTTGCCCAACTATCATTTGAATTCTTGACGCATTTCTACCGCTTGATTGTATTCACGCTAGCTGCCCACCAGTCACGATTTCTCATCCCAATCCAAATGTAATTGAATTTGAAAGGGAGAGCATCATATTAATTATCATTTGACTATCTGAGATAGCTGTGGTATAGCAGACTAGTAGTTGGATTCCAGGGTTTGTCGGGATTTTGAGATTTTCCAAGTTGGTATTCATCATCGGCTGACATCAATTGGAAGAAAATTGAAAACCTGGCAGCACTGGACGGCTGTTTCGCCCTGGTATGAGACTCTTCAAAGGTGCGCACCCACGACCTTCAGGTTCTATGGTCACCATGTTACCATTGAGCGAGTGGATCGGAATCCAGTGGTCCATATTTCCAACTTCTGTCAGTTCACGACATAGTGCGACCATTACCCAATGTCATCGTTGAGTATTTGTCCTCACGGCCACCAGGTTAGATATCAGTCCATAATGAATATCAACTTGAAAAAAAGACAAGTACTGACTGATGATTGAACGTGAAATGAAAAATTGTACTGTGCCCGTATTTGAACCAGTGACTTACGGGTTTCCGACCCGACGCTTTACCAACTGAGCTACGAGGTCCGAATGCTGACCAGACATTTATTTCACTTGAATCATAAGTCGGGTTTGGCGCCACTACTATGTGAATTCGTGACGCATTACTATTGCTTGATCGTACTCACACCTGCTGCCTAGTTAGGACTTCTCATCCCAATCCCAATCTAACTGAATTAGAGGTGTGGGTGGGGGGGGGGAGCATAATATTGATTATCATTTTTGACTATCTGAGATAGTGGTGGTTTGACAGACTAGTATTTGTACTGATGGAGCATCAGGTTGGCAACCTGGTGGTTGTTGGTTCGAATGTGGTTGCGGTCCAAATTTTCATTTCACCTTTAATCATTACCCAGTGTCATTACTAGTCTACCAAACTATGGGTCTGTCTCAGACAGTCAAATTATAATTAAAATCTACTCAGCTGTAAAAAATGTCATCGTGTACTATGCGGTTTGTAAATCACTAGCGATTTGGTCATCCTGCTTTTTTGTTGTGCTGATATACCTAAGGAAGGAAATAAAATTCTATCGATATATTAGAGTGATGTAGAATCAATTTCTAACGCATACTGGCGATCTTCAAGTTAGGTTGTAAATTATTATTAGGGGGAGATTGATGATAAACGGTTATGCGGTTCAAGACCTTAAATTTATAGAGTAGTAGTATTCACATAAAACATGGAAGCTCATATGGAGAGAATATAGTGAAACAGAAGATGAACCAGTGCAGTGCAGTGCAGGGATAAACAACGAAAAGAGAAGCTGAATACAACCAATAAAACACTACACTGCATAAAAAGTGAATAAGAGTATGCGGAAAGACGAAAAAAACTTCTACGACACACTGGCGAGTGAAGCAGAACAGGCTTCTGGTAGGAGAGACACAGACCTGACAGCACTATATCAAATAACCAGGTTACTATCTGGAAAGAGATGAACACAGATGAAACCAATGAGAGGTAGTGAAGGGAACCTAGCTACCAAAGAGGAGAAACAAAGGAAAGAATGGGCTGACCACTTCAAAAGCTCTTGAGTCGACCATCACCTGCAACTCGTCCAGAAATACTACCAGCAGCCACAGAATTACCAGTAACAACACCAGAAGTGAAATCCTGAACGCCATAAAGTTGCTGAAATCCGAAAAAGCAGCAGGACCAGATGGAATTCCTTCAGAAGCACTGAAAACAGACGCAGAGACAACAGATATGCTCACACCACTACTGTAGAAGGTTTGGAAGGAAAGAAAGTTACCTGCCGATTGATTGGAAGAAGGGCTACCTTGTAAAAATCTTAAACAAGGGAAACCTAAGTCTTTGCAAGAACTGGCAAGGAATCATGCTGCTGTCCACCCCAAGCAGAATACTAAGCCGCATGATCCTGGAGATACTAAAGGATGCTCTCCATTCATAATTATGACCGGAAGAGGCTGGCTGGCGGGCTTCAGCATAAACAAACCATGTGTGGATCAAATTGCAATGCCACGCTACGCATCATCATAGAACAGAGTATAGAATGGCAGTCTACTGGATCCTTACTTCAACTTCATCCATTTTGAAAACGCCTTCAATCGAGGCATAGACTTCCACACTACGCAGTACCACAAGCATTTATCAACCTCATTCAACAGCTATATGAAGACACCACATCCCGAATGATCCACAGTGGAAAGCTCCATGACACCTCCGAAGTGAAGACCGAACTAAAACAAGGTTGACGCTGACTATCATTGATGATCTTCTTCGTTGCGGTGTACTGGATTATGCAACACTGTGAGAAGAGGGGCATACGCTGGTTAGACCGATGAAAAGACCTTAGAAGATTTCGATTTTGCCGATGATGATTTATGTCTAATATCTCGTCGCACAAATTCCAAGATCTACAGGCGAAAGTCAACAAGTTAACAGAAGAGGCGAGGCGAGACAGCGAAGGAAGATTCGACTTCCTTCAGGTGAACATAGAGAAGATACAGGTGATGAAGATACCCAATCAACAACCAACTATCAGGTCGCCATTTCACTCACTTCTCTCAAGTCTTCTCAACCTGGCCACACAACTGCCCACAACCTTTCATTTCTTCCTCACACCATCTCCTCCATGTCAACCTCGCCTCGAACACCCAACTCGTCGTCTCCCATTCAGGTTCCACTCGACGCCCTGACATGGCCTCCCTGACCTGACACCTGATGTCCCCAAACCGTCTTCTCAGTGTATGTCGAATCGAATCCCTCTACATATTCGTTGGTCGATGGGTTGTTGGTTGGTTCGTTGCCAGCCAGGGAGCTAGCAGGCCAGAGTTCCTTGTTGCTTATTCTTTCTGGCTATCTGATTTTAACGTGCTAACATATGTTAATAAACACAATAAATTGCTGTGAATTCAAACAACTTTCCATCACTTCATAGAAATGGATATGATTGGATATACACAGTTTTCCAATCACCTAGTTAAAAAATATCGAAGTCATCCATCTTAAAATCTACTATACCATTAACATTTTGGCAGTTGAAGCGATGAGCTCGAGTCCCAGTGAGTGCATTTACATCCAGCTGACCTATCTCACCAAATAAGACGAAATCCGTGTCCTGCACTTCATTGCTAGCCATCACCCATCAGACATCAACATAATGAGTGAGCAGATAGGCGAGGTTGACATGGAGGAGATGGTGTAAGGAAGAAATGAAAGGTAGTGGGCAGTTGTGTGGCCAGGTTGAGAAGACTGGAGAGAAGAGAGTGAAATGGCGACCTGCTAGTTGGTTGTTGATTAGGTATCTTCATCACCTGTATCTTCTCTATGTTCACCTGAAGGAAGTCGGATCTTCCTTCGCTGTCTCGCCTCGCCTCCTCTGTTAACTTGTTGACTTTCGCCTGTAGATCTTGGAATTTGTGCGACGAGATATTAGACATAAATCATCATCGGCGAAATCGAAATCTTCTAGAGTTTATTCATCAGTCTAAAATGTTTACATGATAATTAACTAATAAGTTGCATAACAATACTATTTAGCTAAAATTCAATCCGTATCTTCTTTTCTTCATGTATAGTCTGTTGGATTTATGGATTTGAAGACCTTTGAAACTCGTACATACGATAAATCAACTTCATATTTTGAATGTTCAGCCAGTGAAGAGAATGCTGAACGTGATTCCTTACTACAAGGAGTTGAAGCACGTGATCTTATTGAATATGGAATTATACCAGAGTTTGTTGGTCGTTTTCCAATAATTACTGTTCTACATTCATTGGATGAAAATATGCTTGTTCGTATTCTTACGGAACCACGTAATGCTCTTGTGAAACAATTTCAATTTCTTTTCGGTATTGATGGTGTAAGTTGATTTGTTTATTGTTTTCATATAAAACTAATGTCATATAGAGGTCTAAGTATTTTAATTATCTGTTGCTATGGTGATGATTCCCTTGACGCGCATTTCGTCCTATTTAAGACTCGTCGACTGGATTCACCTGCACCACATTGAGTGATGCTGTTCCTATTGATACTCGAACACAGCACTCATCGCTTTAAAAACTGAGTTGTTATCCACTGGGACACGAGGGCCACCTCTTTTTTGCAATTGGAATTTCCCGTTAACATTTGAAGCGATGAGGACGGGGCTTAATTGTCAGTGGGATATTAATCACCCACTGGGATTCAGGTATTTCCAGCTGACAAGTCCTAAGTAGGATGAAACACTTGTCATGGACTCCACTGGTAGTCACGAATGGTGAATACAGCATAATCACTATTTGCGAGTATCGAGGCATCCGCATTGAAGCCCATCTGCCGATAAGGGTCGAGCAGTTTGATCTTATATGACAACGGAAAGAAAATTACAAGAATCGAACAACAGTATTTCATAGTAATGATGGATAGATAGTGGCTAGCACTGGAATCCAGGATGCGCATTTCGTCGTCGTCCACTACACCACCGAGCCACGATAGCCACTTCTTGTGCGACGGGTATAGTTTTTAGTTTAATCGTTTCTATATTATACCGTCGTTGATTGGACCAAATCGATCGATCTCTGTTGGCATATGGGCTCCTGTGCGGATGCCTCAATATACCTGTGTCCTAGTTATAGTAAGGATGGATACTGGCTAGCAATGGAATCCAGGATTGGCATTCCGTCCTATCTAGGACTCGTCAGCTGAATGTACCTGCCTCCCAGCGAGTGGTGTTGTTCCTACAAGCATTCGGACGAAATGCCCATCCTAGATTCCACTGCTAGTTACTATCCTTTACTACTTTGATTAGAATACAGGTAATATTGAAGCATCTGCATATGAGTCCATTTGCCAGTAGAGACCGATCAGTTCTTTCCAATCAACGACTGTATAATACAAGCAATTATACTAACAGTATTTCATTCCTATTATTTATAAGCTTTTCTTGTTTATAAATTTGTGTGTATATTTCTTGAAACATTATTATTTTTACTGGTCATAAATAACTTGATATTTCCTACACATGTTTTCATTCATAGTGTGAACTTGAAGTGACTCCAGGTGCTTTGAAGGCCATTGCTCGTTCGGCTTTGAGCCATCGTACAGGAGCTAGAGGTCTTCGTGCAATCATGGTAACTAACTGTTTCTTAGTTTTCACATTACTTTTGTCTAATATTTATTTACTAGTTGGGCGTACAGTCCTCTTAAATTTTTGTACCTATAGATATTAAAAATCATTGAAATATTATGACTATCTGAGATAGAGCCGTGGTTTGGCAGACTTGTAGTAATACAAGATGATGATTGAAGGTGAAGCGAGAAGTTGAACCGTGGCGGGATTTGGACCAGCGACCACCGGGTTTCCGGCCTGGTCTCTACCGATTGACCCAGGAGACCCGACTGTTGACCAGATTCTTATTTCACTTCAATCACAAGCAGAGTTTTGCCCGACTACCATGGGAATTCATGATGCGTTACTATGGGTCACCAGCTCGATACACTACCAACTGAGCCAGGAGACCCGGATTGCAATAAGAAGTCCCAGCTGGACGACTAGTGTGAATACGATCAAGCGATAGTGATACATCAAGTGTTAACATGGTAGTCGGGCAAAACCTTCAGTGACTGAAGTGAAATAAAAATCTGGTCAGGAGTCGGGCCTCGTTGGTCAATCGGTAGTGCACCAAACCGGAAACGCGATAGTTGCTGGTTAGAATCCGGCTGCGGTCTGAATTTTCATTTCAGTTGCAGTCATTACCCAGTATCGATTGGTTTATCGTTTCAGGGTTACTTTATTACTTAATCTATATTAATTAATTGACGAGCTGCCTCTCATAATAATGACTATTCAATTGTATATACGGTGTTTTTTTGGTACGGTGAGGGGCAGATAAATCTACTCAAAATATATAGATATTCAGATTGACTTTTTCCTGAAGTGGGTTTTTCATGAACAGACGTTTGAATGTCATACTAGGTATCAATATGAACGTCATATACTGTCTAAGGTATTTAGCAATCTATGATCATATTCAAGGCGGGAAACTTAGAGGTACGTTTAAATACTGAGAATTAATTACATTACTGACTTGCAATGGTCTAACTAACTAGTAGTTTATCAATTCTGTTAATTATGTATTTATAATTAGTAGTTTATGAGAGTGATACACTGGATAAATTATTGTCCATTACAAAAGAGTATTGAAGACAAACTAGTTAATCGATGAGGTTGTGGACGTTCACTAACTGCGCATGCCTATTCACTGTCTATCTCGACGTGCAATGCTCGAGGAAGTTGGATTAGGTTGGGTCCCCGAGACCATAGGAACTAATGGTTGATATGATTGGAAAACGGTCACATTAACGTTTTCTAAAACTTGAAAATTCGCACTAACTTTCATCTTCAAATTCTCTCTCCTCCTGTACACCTTTGTCAATGAACTTGTTTTTTGCATCTTGTTGTTGAGTGTGACAAGTTGGACCTTTCCATTTCTGTTTTGTGTGAGGTTCTGCGTTGATTTTATCTGTCTGCGATTTTGATTAAGACACTTACGCGTAATTTTAGGCAGGTGATTCACTAATCTATCAGCTATACGTAGGGTATTTCGGGTTAGTGGTATTACTCAGTCGTTCAGATCAAAGTAGGTGAATTGGGGTTAAATCCTGTAATCATCATCATCATTATCAACATAGGACCAGGCATTACTGCGTAACGGTCCGAGTTGCCACACCTCATATCAGCACATCAAGTAAAAAGGTAGTGAGGTGAAGGATGAAGATAAGTGAATGCAGTCAAAAGAAATATAAAGTACGAGAAGAGAGGAAAGAGGAGTGACAAAATGGTGAGATTCGGTATAGCGTTGTTAAGATGAGGATAATGTGTGTACACATCTGCGCCACTCACATCGGTTCTGAGTCATATCACCTAGGGTCCCCAACCACTGGTTCCTCTTGTCCCGTGGACCCCAACCACCTAGTCTGCATCGTCCTACATGGCTTAAACCAACAGTCACAGACTTCATACATTGGTGCCATGTTTTAGTCTGGCCACCTCGGGCCTTTTTCCAGCCTGGACCCACCTCAGCCAACATTGTGTGACGAGGCAATCGGTGACTAGGCATACGTAGTACGTGTCCCAACCATCTCAGTCGATGAAGGTTCACAACCTCGTCAACTGACTTACCTCTTCTCCCCAAAACTCTACACCTGACTTCTGCATTACTCACATGGTGATACCACGGAATACGTCCTATATTACGAAGGCAACGGTGATCAAACACCTGAAGCCTTTTTGTATCCTCCTTTTTCAGTGGCCATGTTTCACAGCCATATAGTAGAACAGAACGGACTGCTGTGCAGTACACGCGACCCTTAATAGACAAACGAATATCACGGCGGCTCCATAGGTGGCGCAAATTATCCTGTAATCAAAAGGATATGAATCATGATTCTAGATCACTGAGCTAAAACTCAATGCTAAATGATGCGCATCTGTTTATCAGTTTCTTGTAAATCAGTCTAGCACAAACCAACTTGAACTGGACAATTCATCAACTTTCAAAGTTGGGTACCTCTGAAGTGCAAAAGAAATCAAACCCACTGACTTTATTTTAGAATCTATAAAATCTGTTCAGAAGACATTGTAGATGTTAAGGTTTGAAAGCCCTTAGAACAACACTATTGATTAGTGGATACCCTTGAAGAGTTAATGATACGAATTACCTCTCACTCTATTACAGTTCCAAAGAAAGTTGTAATCATGGATTCGCAATTCAAAGGGGACGCCATTGTTGAAGGGTTGAAGAGTCGTTCGTCGAAGTATATCAATAGTACATTGTATTCTGAACCGTCGTTTTGATTCGACAACCTTTGAAGGATAGACTACCGCTTATGTTCACATGTATGTGTACCTAGAAATTCACATGCTACTGTGGAGCTGAATATATTGGAAATTGTGAGCGGTGGACCATCTAAAAGCGCGCCGTTGGACACTACGAATGACTTTCAAGGTCACCCTATCTTCCCAACCAAAATACTTCAACCTGATTGGTTATTTTCGCAGTTAAATTCGCTCAAAATTACTCTGTTTTCTGTTGGTGGGATGTTTTGCTTTGATTATGAATATGAACTTAATAGCGAAAGTAACTGTACAGTTTTTAGTTCATTTTTCTCAACTATTCCTTTTTTCAAGGTCACCTGTTCATACTTGTACGATTACTGCTAGTTAGGCGTACATCTTATCTTATCATATTTGTTATAAAAAGTTTTTGAACTTTTATGGTTATAAAAAGGACTAAGTTTTTAATTCAGTCTAGTTAATAGTGCATTTATTAACTTTGTACTTTAGACCTAGAGGATTAATATTTTTAGTATCTAGGTCAGTTTCATTCATGTGATCATTTTCTAGCTAGAGAAATAGAAAACTCGGTATATATCTTGACATCAGCTGATCATATGATCTGTAATCAGCTGATAATTATTTCAACCTTGTGTTTGTATCTAGTGTCACTGCTGGCCACTGCCCATCATTACTTGTGATTTATTGTTTGGATAGTACTTTCAATGTAGAGAATTAGTTGTTTTTCGAATTACACAATAGTTTCTGATGCTAATCAATAAGATATTTTGAAAATCTTTGAGTAATCAAAAAGGCTTTTGATGTCTTGTTGATATTCAAGGTCAGATTATTCGATCTTTGTCAATAGATTAGCTCTTATTCGAATGTCTCAATACTATCTGCTCACTCATTATGTTGATGTCTGCTGGGTGATGGCTAGCAATGAAGTGCAGGACACGGATTTCGTCTTATTTAGTGAGATAGGTCAGCTGGATGTAAATGCACTCACTGGGACTCGAGCTCATCGCTTCAACTGCCAAAATGTTAATGGTATAGTAGATTTTAAGATGGATGACTTCGATATTTTTTAACTAGGTGATTGGAAAACTGTGTATATCCAATCATATCCATTTCTATGAAGTGATGGAAAGTTGTTTGAATTCACAGCAATTTATTGTGTTTATTAACATATGTTAGCACGTTAAGATCAGATAGCCAGAAAGAATAAGCAACAAGGAACTCTGGCCTGCTAGCTCCCTGGCTGGCAACGAACCAACCAACAACCCATCGACCAACGAATATGTAGAGGGATTCGATTCGACATACACTGAGAAGACGGTTTGGGGACATCAGGTGTCAGGTCAGGGAGGCCATGTCAGGGCGTCGAGTGGAACCTGAATGGGAGACGACGATTTGGGTGTTCGAGGCGAGGTTGACATGGAGGAGATGGTGTGAGGAAGAAATGAAAGGTTGTGGGCAGTTGTGTAGCCAGGTTGAGAAGACTGGAGAGAAGAGAGTGAAACGGCGAAGTGCTACTGTAGCCCAATGTTTCACTAGGAACCCAAAAGACAAATAATTATAATAATAGCTGTGAAATCATAATCTTACGATCAAGAACTACTGAGTATTTCATTTGATTCAATTAAACTGATGGACAACATAACTGGGAATACATATTAATTTAATCTTTAAACAAATAGAAATATAACAATTTAAGGACAATGTAAAACATTTTGTGACCTAACTTGAAAGCAATGCAAAAGTGCAAAGAAGAGAAATAAACATTTTATTCTTTTGTGATGATAATTGAATACAACACAAGTACAAGTACATTGTAAAAATGTTTGTTAACTAGAAAGGTTAATAACTAAACTTCAACCATACTAATCAATTGATATAGTCAACTTCCTATAGACTTTCAAGAGTATTACATAAAAACATGGAATATAGCTAGATATTTATGAAAGCTCTGAAGAGTAATATAACCAATAAAGTGTTCTAGTAATATAGTAATAAGCATAAATGGATTATGTTTAAAGGTCAGACACTAACAGCTACTGAAAGAACCAATTACACTTTAATAGTGCAATAATTCCCATTTAGACATTTAGTAAAACAAAGAATATAAGTGAAGAAATGTCTCTTTTCAATCACTTCTTCATCAATCACTTTACACTAATATATGTAGCATTTTCAAAACTTCAGAGTACATACCAATCTAATGGTGAAAGTTGTTTAATGCGTGGTGTTATATCAATCTCAAAGTATCAAGAAAGGTGATAATTGATCAGGTAATTAAGACAAGTAACTAAAGTATAGATTAATTATAGTAGAAAGTAGTAGTAGTAGTAAAATAAAATTTTTTAACATTGTTACATAGTAATGATGGATAATGGCTAGCAGTGGAACCCAGGATGTGCATTTCGTCCTATTTGGGAATCGTCAGCTGGATGTGTCTGCCTCCCAGTGAGTGATGTTGTTCCCACCGGGACTCGGACTCGGGAGCGACCTCTCCAAACGCCAGAGCGTTATCCACCACACCATAATTGACATTTTGTATAATAAAAAATAAGCAAAGATGAATTGTTACGCCAAGTGGTAAATTATTGACGGTAATAAGAAGGAGTAGGGGGGGGGAACAAGATAGTTAAACTTGTAATAATAATAGTAATGATAGCAATAGTAATAATAATAATACCGAGAGTAAAGTATTAGTGATAATCACTTATGGGATGAATAAAATGACGGGTCACGTTGTAATAAATAAGCCACCGAGTTAATATACACAAGGCCTTCAAAGTTATTTATCACATTTCTTCTAATTTCACCCATGCTCTTTTACATACACCAGAAGTTATAAGAATCCACCTAAACAAGCCAAGTCTGTGTGTTCAGAAGAAATACATACGGCCTCTCTGCATAGCTTATTTATTACAACAAGACCCTTCCTTTTAGTTATCCCACAAATGATGATAACAAACACTTTAATACCTCTATTATTATTAGTGTTATTATTATCATCATCATTAATACAGTTTTAGCCATCTTGTTCTTCCCCTTTTGTCTCTAACTTATCCCTTGGGTTCCTAGTGAAACATTGGGCTACAGCAGCACTTCGCCGTTTCAATCTCTTCTCTCCAGTCCAGCTCTATGACACCTCCGAAGTGAAGACCGAACTAAAACAAGGTTGACGCTGACTATCATTGATGATCTTCTTCGTTGCGGTGGACCGGATTATGCAACACTGTGAGAAGAGGGGCATACGCTGGTTAGACCGATGAAAAGACCTTAGAAGATTTCGATTTCGCCGATGATGATTTATGTCTAATATCTCGTCGCACAAATTCCAAGATCTACAGGCGAAAGTCAACAAGTTAACAGAAGAGGCGAGGCGAGACAGCGAAGGAAGATCCGACTTCCTTCAGGTGAACATAGAGAAGATACAGGTGATGAAGATACCCAATCAACAACCAACTATCAGGTCGCCATTTCACTCACTTCTCTCAAGTCTTCTCAACCTGGCCACACAACTGCCCACAACCTTTCATTTCTTCCTCACACCATCTCCTCCATGTCAACCTCGCCTCGAACACCCAACTCGTCGTCTCCCATTCAGGTTCCACTCGACGCCCTGACATGGCCTCCCTGACCTGACACCTGATGTCCCCAAACCGTCTTCTCAGTGTATGTCGAATCGAATCCCTCTACATATTCGTTGGTCGATGGGTTGTTGGTTGGTTCGTTGCCAGCCAGGGAGCTAGCAGGCCAGAGTTCCTTGTTGCTTATTCTTTCTGGCTATCTGATCTTAACGTGCTAACATATGTTAATAAACACAATAAATTGCTGTGAATTCAAACAACTTTCCATCACTTCATAGAAATGGATATGATTGGATATACACAGTTTTCCAATCACCTAGTTAAAAAATATCGAAGTCATCCATCTTAAAATCTACTATACCATTAACATTTTGGCAGTTGAAGCGATGAGCTCGAGTCCCAGTGAGTGCATTTACATCCAGCTGACCTGCACTTCATTGCTAGCCATCACCCATCAGACATCAACATAATGAGTGAGCAGATAGGCGAGGTTGACATGGAGGAGATGGTGTAAGGAAGAAATGAAAGGTAGTGGGCAGTTGTGTGGCCAGGTTGAGAAGACTGGAGAGAAGAGAGTGAAATGGTGACCTGCTAGTTGGTTGTTGATTAGGTATCTTCATCACCTGTATCTTCTCTATGTTCACCTGAAGGAAGTCGGATCTTCCTTCGCTGTCTCGCCTCGCCTCCTCTGTTAACTTGTTGACTTTCGCCTGTAGATCTTGGAATTTGTGCGACGAGATATTAGACATAAATCATCATCGGCGAAATCGAAATCTTCTAAGGTCTTTTCATCGGTCTAACCAGCGTATGCTCCTCTTCTCACAGTGTTGCATAATCCTGTCCACCGCGACGAAGAAGATCATCAATGATAGTCAGCGTCAACCTTGTTTTAGTTCGGTCTTCACTTCGGAGGTTTCACAGAGGTTTCCATTCTGAACCATTGAACATTCGTCTTGGAAATTCTAACCAGGAGTTTGCATCTCCCTACATGAATGAAGGGATTTCATAAACGATGCGATCGATGATTGTTTTCCTAGACTTACCATTTACTCTTCTTTCCTCTGCTTCTGTCTTTGCTTGTAACATTCAATTTCAATGTTGTTTTTTTGCGTTCTTGTCCTATAAAAATTGTGAATGATTACATAGTTGAGATTTTCTTTTATGTGTTGTATATTTTCAATTTTTTTAGTACTAATAATAAATCTGAGACCTAACTTATTATGTAATTCCATTCATTCATATATACGGTGTTGTATACTAAATGACTTCGTGACCTCTTCATAACTTCCGGCAAATTGTTCGTACATCACACGTCAGGCCAGGCCGTGGACTGGAACCTAAATGGGAAACGACGAGTTGGGTGTTCGAGGCGAGGTTGACATGGAGGAGATGGTGTGAGGAAGAAATGAAAGGTTGTGGGCAGTTGTGTAGCCAGGTTGAGAAGACTGGAGAGAAGAGAGTGAAACGGCGAAGTGCTACTGAAGCCTAATGTTCCACTAGGAACCCAAGGGATAAATAATGATAATAATAATAATAATAATAATAACAATAAACAATACTTTATCAAGAAGACCACAATCTCATAAAGTTTGGCGCTTGGTAGGTTGAAATTATAATATTTAGTCGAGTGATTTATGACGGTATAGAGATGAAAGTACTTTTGTAGAATCCTGAAGATTTCAGGATACTGGGTATTGAACCAATCACTGATATATTTCAGTACTTTAAATTAATTAGAACACTTTAATATATGAAATGATTGCTGACATTACTTGTGGAAATAGGGGAGATCACTATTGTATTTGTTTGAGGTTAATGGAAATTTTTATATAAAAATTAGTAATGATCATGGACTGATATCAGTTAGAGAACCATTGAAAACATGGAAGAAACGGACAAATGTTTCGTCCCAGTATGGGACTCCTAAGCAAGAGGCACCACCAGTGATCGAACCTCGGACCTTCAATTTTCACAGCAAGCGCGTTAACTATTCAGTCACTGAGTCTGAGTTCAGTGATCTACAGTTTCCCTTTTGTGTCAATTTATGATAAAGCGTGACGATCACCCAAGGTCTTCAATTAGCATCCGCTTCCCTTCCCACTTGTTGACCTTACAGGTCACAGCTTTTCATTAGAATTTCAGGATGTCGCTAATCAGCAGTTTACAGTTATGTATTTTGAAGAGAATGAGGTGCATTGAACAGCTGTTTCGTCGTAGTATGGGACCGCTCAGCAGTATGGACCCATGATCCGACTAGGGGTCGAACTCAAGACATTCTGGTTTCACGGGGAACGAGTGATATAGTGCGACTATCACTCAAGGTTTTCAATTGGCATCCTCTTTTCTTGTGACTTTTTGACCCCCTGGGTTATGGATTTTCAGTACTCTCAGATTTCCAATGGTTCTCCAAATTGATATCAATCTGTGATGAATACTGCCTTAAAATTAAAATCCTCGCTAACTTTTAAAAGGAATGTATACATGATTGTTATCATTTGTTGCCTTTCAGGAAAGTCTACTACTACAGGCACGATATGATGTCCCAGGATCAGATATTTCAACTGTAATTCTAACTGAAAGTGCTGTACTCGGTCATTGTCCACCAGAATACTGCAGGTCTACTTCATCTGCTTCATCAAGTGCGTCTTGATGCATTTTTTCCCCCCTTCCCATTATTGCTACTGTTGTCATTTTTGTTTCTCTTATCTGATATATACATTATATATACATATATTTATTCCATAGACTGTTGTGTTTTTTTCCGTTGTATCCGTCTTATTATTATTATTATTATTATTATTATTATTATTATTATGAATTATGGGTGTTTAAAGTCATGATGTTTGCAGGAATGAAAGAATTTCAAGATGTTTCGTGTACCTGTTTATCGACTGCAGGTAATTGGCTCAATTCTATATTCATCTCCTTTGTGTTTTGTCCCATCAGATAAGTGAGAAGATAACATTTTTAATGAAAGATTGAAAGAGAGGAGAATTCTGTTTTGTTTATCCTGTTTTACTCCATCTTGATTATTTTTTACTTTTTTTTCCGCTTCTATAAACATCAACAAAAGCACAAGGGCATGTGTTATTTTCCAAGCATACATAAGAGTATACGATTATTGTTGGTAGAAAAAAGAACAAAGTTAGTTTTCTTTATCCTCTTGTGTATTCAAAGTAGGATTAGTAGATGGCTTCATGTGTAGATTTCTTGCTTCTACAATATGGCATATGTTTATGTTTTCTAGACAATAGCGATATATAAAGAAGCTGAATAAATAGATAGTGTACTAAAATAAAAGAATAGCCTACTGAAACTATCATATTACATCAGTTTAACTCTTCGGTCAACTTTCCTGTTGGTTTTGTTTTCTTCTAATAAAAATATTATTATAATCTATTTATGTAACTGTTTTGTATTCTTTATTGAAGGTTGGTTTTATTGGAATGCGTCGAACGATCACACTTTTAGTCAGACAGATAGATGAAATCAACATAGAATCTTGTACACACGTGTTGCATCAGTTCAATTTGGCCATTCTTCTCAGGGTCGCATGTACTGCACAGCAGTTTGGTCTTTTCTATTTTATGGCTGTGAAACATTACCATTGAAGATGAAAGATATGAGAAGGCTTCAGGTGTTTGACAACCTTTGGCTTCGTAGTATAGGCGGTATTCCGTGATGTCACCACATGAGTAACGTAAAAGTGAGGTGTATAGTTTTAGGGAGAAGAGGTAAATCAGTTGACGAGGTTATGAACCTTGATCGGCTGAGATGGTTGAGACATGTATTACGTACGCCTAGTCGCCGATTGCCTTGTCACACAATGTTGGTCGAAGTAGGTTCAGGCTGGAAAAAGGCTTGAGGCGACCAGACTAAAACATGGCATCAATGTATACAGTTTTTGACTGTTGGTTTTGAGTGATGTGGGGCAATGTAGACTAGCCGGTTTTGATGTCCACGGGACAGGAGGAACCAGTGGTTGGAGACTGATTGTAGGTGATATGGGTGAGAACGGATGTGAGTGGCTCAGATGTGTACACATATTATCCTCATCATAACGACTCTATACCGAATCTCATCATTTTCTCATTCTCCTTTCTCTCTTTTCGTACTTTATATTTCTTTTGAGTGAATTTTGTTTTCTTCATCTTCCACTTCATTGGGTTTTCACTTGATGTACTGATATGAGGTGTGGCAAGTTGGACCATTACACAGTAATGCCTGGTCCTATGCTGATATTGATAATGATTCTTCGCAGTAGAATATAACGAACAAGTGGATAAAAACGAGTGATATCAAGGTAGACAAAGGTGTATGGGAGGGAGCAGGGTTAGGAAGATATTCAACAAGCGAGATTAATCAAAATATCCAAGCTTTAGAAGGCGTCAGTACTATGACGGGTAGTACGAGCCTAGCAGACTACGAATCTCATACCCAACGAATCCACTGTAACCCAAATCTGAACGTCAACCATCACCACAACAATACCACTGATGTGCAAAGATAAGAAGAGAAGAGAGACTTGACAGAGAGCTTTTTACTGTCTTAACTGCTGTCAACACAGTCGACAGCGATGCTGAATATATACACTTCTAAATGACCTTGACAACACTCCACATTTGAGTAAAAAACAGCCAGTGAGAGTTCAGCTTTGAGAGCAGAGGGAAGGAAGGCTAGTAAGAGTGTGAAAACGGCTATGTAGATTATTATTAGATCATGGACAAATCAACGGGCGAAAGCTAAGTAAAATTAGGGGAATATTGCACCTCCTGCTTAAAAAAAATGAATATGTACAAGAACAAAATTGAGTATCCCTGTCTTTTCGGGTCAATTCGGAAGTGTACCGTTTGAGTTCTTTTGACCTTAGATCATCTAGGTAAAACCCTATTCTTGATATTTGGCTTCGACAATGAAAAAGATTGTTTACATCTCTACCATTGTGATCAATTTCCAACCACATCCTTAAGTCTGTTCGACCATTCATTCCTATCATTTTGAAGCTGTAAGGTAGATCAAAGTAAAAGCGACTAGAAGAGATGATGAATTCTTATTGGAATCTGAATGTTTTATCAGAATTTGTGAATAACGTTCTAAGTCCTTCCTGTCTTTTTAGTAGTAAAGTGACAGAGTGGAATAGTAAGAACGAAGGTAACACGATAAGACACTTAGAATGGATACGAACAATGACTGTTCTTCATCAGACCTTTTACTAAGTCACAAAAGTAACAGAAGAGAATGATTGGCCTGCGACTGCATAGAAGACACTTTATTCGACAAAAATACATCATTTATATACTGATGTGTTGAATATATAAAACCATTAGGTCAAAAGTTAAATAGTTGATCCTGATTGGTTGATTGTAGGACAAAATTATCCAGTAATGCTTTTCCTGACCACACAGCGACATGAAGCAAAAATTGAAATGTAAAGATATCTACTTTATTGGCTGATGACTTTAGATATTGATTTCCACTGAATTCACTTTTTAGAAATTATTCAGGAGGAATTAGGATTTTTTAGGGTGTATGAATGAACAAAATATCATTAGTTTTATTGGTGTCTCACGCATAGTACAATAAAATAGAGTGGAAGTAGCGTTTCCCGTGGTCTGAAATATAGAATTGGGTGGTGTTGACTTCAGACTGCGTGATCTTTAGGAATGTTTTTAAAGAACGGCATTCTGTTGAAGGGAAGGCGTTCTCATTACCTAGCTACTGATCGGTGTAAATAACTGATCCATTTTTACAGTCGTAACATTTTTATCCTTCCTACATCTATACTTGTTCCCTGTTAAAATCATGTCTCAGTGAGCATAGAATAATTTCCTTTAAACTGCTGACTTTTCACACTGTCAGCTCGTGGTTATCTAATTTATTCAGTGTCTTTTCTATTTCGAATCGGAACAGGAACATTATTGAAAAATGTAGAAATTATAATATAGTTTGACTACCCTTGGCCACCGTTTTCAGTGATGTTATATTTGCCTGTCCTATATCAAGCTTGATACCATTGCAGTCAGTTAGTCAGTATATATTTTAACAATAATAATAGTAGTGATAATAATAATGACTTTATTCAAAGAACAGTGTGTGATACAGTATGGAATTCTTAGCATGTAATATTTCAACAAATTTAGCTCCTTGTACAATATTTTTAAACGAAGTAATTATTACATCTGAATAGTGTTAATATTACAAGTGTTAAAGGCACTTAGGTGGGACGGGCAACTGGTGTTACATAAGCGTTTAGTCTGGACTTAGAAATGAACAGAAAATCGAGTGTCATCATTGTGATGGTAGTTCAATCAGTCAGTACAAAAATTTGCAATTCCATATAGGTATCCTAGGAATGCTAATGTGCTGTATTTTTAAGCATTTATATGTTCATTATCAAAGAGCAACGCTACGCATCATCGTAGAACAGAGTATAGAACGGTAGTCAACTCTCTACCTCAACTTTATCGACTTTCATAAGGCCTTCGACAGCGTCAACCGAGAAGGAATTTGGCAAGCAGTTACTTCAACACTACGGAGTGCCGCAAACCTTTATCAACCTCATTCAACAGCTATATGAAAACGCTTATGCCAAGTGGTCCAGAATGGAAAGCTCAGTGATGCCTTTGAAGTGAAGACGGGGGTAAGACAAGGTTGATGTTTACTATCACCAATGATGTTCCTGATTGCGGTGGACTGGATTATGCAGCAAACCGTGAGGAGCGAGAAGATGAGCATACGCTGGTTGGACTGGTGAAAAGAGCCTATAAGATTTGGATTTCGTCGATGATGATTTACGTCTAGTGTCGCACAAACTCGAAGGTCTACAGGCAAAAATAAGTTGACAGGAGGGGCAGCAAAAACGGGATTTCAAATGAATGCCGGGAAGACACAAGTGATGAAGATACGCAACCAACAACAAGCAACAATAACTGTTAACGGGAGAAACCTAAAGGAAGTTGTCCCTTTCACCTACCTAGGCATGGCAGCATCTTTTCAACTGCAGGCGGAGGCACAGGCAAAGAAGTCAAAACCAAGGTCGGAAAAGCAAGGCAGGCTTTCCTTCATTAACCTGAAATCAGTGTGCAGATCTACTGCACTCAGCACAAAGAACAAGATCTGGATTTTCAACACCAATCCAGTCAAGTCAGTGTTGCTATATGGTTCGTAAACATGGCGCACCACGAAAAGCATTTTCGACAAATCACAGTCATTCATCAACAGCTGTCGCCCACGCCCACTTCATACTGAAGATCAGATGGTCAGAAAGAATAAGCAGGGAGGAACTCTGGGAACGAGCCAACCAAGGAGCTATCACCCAACAAATATGCAGGAGAAAGTGGAGATGGTATGGGCGTACACTGAGAAGGCCGACTGGGGACATCACGTGCCAGGCCATGCCGTCGAGTGGAATCCAAAGGAGAAACGACGAGTTTGGCATTCGAAGCGAGGGTAACATGAATGAGATTGTGTGAGGAAGAAATGAAAGGTTGTGGGCAGTCGTGTAGCCAGGTTGAGGAGACTGTAAAGAAGAG